CCTAAGTACCGGGATACTACGTACTGAAACCATAATCGTAATTCCTGCTGTAGATACTATGGTAGGCACTTAGGGCCCTTGGGAAAACCAGTTATAGAACCTGTTAGAACCGTGTTAGGGCAACCCCATTACAGAAAGAACCCTTCTCCAATCTGTTAAACGAACCCTGGTGGGTTCTCAGCTTTGGGAAACAATGCTTACACAGTCCTCGCATCCGCCAAATATGTCTGCTTTAAAAACAGCTTTCCGACTGTTGTCTAAGTCCTTTTGCGGTTTGGGTTTAGGGGCCAGACCAGACAGAACTATTCTATCTGGAGGGTCGTACCCGACCTCTTCCCTGGGGTACCTAGGTTCATGGCTATGATCTGTCGTGTGCAACAAGTAGGTAGGCACTGACCCTAAATAACCTCCCGAAGCAGCAGGTTTTGGGATCCCCAGGTACTTGGAGGATTCAGGGGACTTAGTAAGTAAGGTTATAAGTACCGAAAAAAGGGGGTTAAAAGTACTTATAAGTATAGTTACCTTATTTATAACCCTAGTTACTAAGTCCCCATGATCCTCCAAGTACTCTAAACCCTAAACCCTTATCGACCACTATAGATCTCTTAAAGGGACCCTAAACCCCTAGTTACTAAGTCCCATGATCCTTTAAGTAGACCCTAAACTCCATACATCCCTTTAAGGAACCCTATAGATCCCTTTAAAGAGCCCTCTAAGGAACCCTTACTAAGATCCCTTTAAGGTTACTAAGTCCCCATGATCCTTTAAGTAATCCTAAAACCCCTCAAAAAGATCCTGTATAGATCCGTTTTAAGGAGCCTTTTAAGGGACCCTTACTAAGTCCCCATGATCCTTTAAGTAATCCTAAAACCCCTCAAAAAGATCCTGTATAGATCCGTTTTAAGGAGCCTTTTAAGGAACCCTATAGATCCCTTTAAGGAACCCTAACCCTATAGATCCCTTTAAGGAGCCTTTTAAGGAACCCTTACTAAGATCCCATGATCCTTTAAGTAATCCACTTTCCGCGCATGCGGCAGCGTGGAGCCTTGTTCTCGTGGCTCATCCGTGCCAGCTGTATACCTCAGTTAGGGTTTAGGGCTTTAGGGTTCCTTTAAAGGGATGTAAAAGGGATCCTTAAGGGTTCCTTTAAGGGATCTATAGGGTCTAGGGTTTATAAGGGTTAAGGGTTTAGAGTGTAGAGTTTAGAGTTTAGGGTTTAGGGTTTGCGGTTTAACTTAAGGTTTAGGGTTTAGGGTTTAGAGTTTGCGGTTTAAGGTTTCGAGTTTAGGGTTTAGAGTTTGCGGCTTAGGGTTTAGAGTGCTCCCCCAACTGACATAGGGCGTTTTGCACTTTGCCAAATCAGTTTAGGAGCCAAGTGAAGACTGCTCCAATTAAAACCCAGGCGCCCGCAGTAACTACAAATTTCCCTGGTGATTCAGGGTTGTGACGGGTCCGGGGTCCAGGTTCTACTTGTGGCTCCTATTACCTGCTCTGTTGGATTATATGTGCTCCTGGGGCCCGGGACGCCGGGGACGCTGGGGACGCCGGGGACGCTGAGGACGCCGGGGACGCCAGGGACGCGGGGACGCTAGGGACGCCAGGGACGCCGCACAGGGACGCTGGGGACGCCAGGGACGCTGGGGACGTACGCAAGAAAGACGAGGGAACGCCGCAGCACGGGGGATGGCAGGAAAGGCCTAGTAGAGAGTGTTGCTGCGAAGACGATGGTGATGTCGTTGGTGGTGTTGTTGATGGAGATGATTTTTATATGATGTGATGATGATCTTCATGATGATGTGTAGTGGTGTTTCTTTGCGATGCTCGGTGAGTGTTGCTTCTTAGACAATGAAGCTGTCGAAGGTCGTGTTGTTGATGAAGATAACAAATGGTTGAAATAGTGATGATTTTAATGATGATGTGTAGCGGTGGTTCTCTGCGATGCGCGGTGAGTGTTGTTTTTCCGCAAACGAAGATGTCGAATGTCGTGTTGTTGATGAAGATGATGCTTATATGATATGATGATGATTTTGTATTATGTTGTGTAGTGGTGTTTCTTTGTAGTGGTGTTTCTTTGCGAAGCACGTTGAGTGCTGTTAAGTGTTTCGCAGACGATGATGATGTCGAAGGTCGTGTTGTTGATGAAGATCATGATGCTCTGAAACGATGATGGTTTTTATGATGACCTGTAGTGGTGTTTCTTTGCCCGGAGAGTCTTGCTTCTCAGACGATGGTGATACTTATGTGCACGTATATCTTTATGTATGTAAAGACATATACTCACACGTGTCTATATGTATGCATATACATTGTAGCTTATAAATGCGTAAATAAATATGTATATACATATGTACATATATATATATATATATCCACAAGTATGTGTATATACACATATGGATGTATACGTATATTATGTGTGTTTATATATACATATATACATAACATGATATATGTGTATATACACAAGTGTTTATATGTGTACATATATATGTATGTACACATATGTGCATATGTATATGTAGATGTATATGCGTATGTACACATATAAGCATATACATACACATATGCATATACAGATTTATGAAGATGTCAAAGGTCGAGCTGTTGACGAAGATCATGGTTCTCTGAAATGATGATGATTTTTAGGATGATGTGTAGTGGTGTTTCTTTGCGATGCCCGGGGAGTGTTGCTTCTTAAACGATGGTGATACTTATATGCACGTATATCTGTATGTAAAGACATATACTCACACGTGTATATACGTATGTATACATCTATGTATACATCCACAAGTATGTGTATATACGTACATGGATGCATACAAATACATCCATATATATATATATATGTGTATATATACATATAAACATAATATGATATATGGGTATATACAGTGTACATATATATGTATGTACACATATGTGCTTATATACATATACATTTTTTATACACACGTGTACATATATGTACATATATACATCTGCCATACATATATACACACACATACCTGTATACATCAGACTGAAGGCACGAGTGTTTATATGTAGACGTATATGTGTAAGTACACATGTATGCATATACATACACATATGTATATAAAGATCTAAGAAGATGTTGAAGGTCGAGTTGTTGACGAAGATCATGAATCTTCGAAATTAGACTTTTATGATGATGTGTAGTGGTGTTTCTTTGCGATGCCCGGAGAGTGTTGCTTCTCAGACGATGGTGATACTTATATGCACGTATATCTGTATGTATGTAAAGACATATACTCGCGCGTGTATATATGTATGCATATACATTGTAGCTTTTAAATGTGTAAATATATCTATATATATATCTATATATCCACAAGTATGTGTATATACATACATGGATGTGTATACGTATACATGTACATATATATGAACACAATAATATGATATATGTGTATATACATATATACACATATATCACAAGTGCTTTTATGTGTACAGACATATGTATATGTATGTACACATATGTGCATATACATATACATAATTATATACAGACTTATACATATATGTATATATGAATACATATATATATATATATACACACACAAATCAATACATATGTACACATCAGACTGACGCGGGCGACGCTGCATGGGGACACAAGGGACGCGGAGGACGCAAGGGACGCCAGGGACGCCGGGGACGCCAGGGACGCTGGGGACGCTGGGGACGCTGGGGACGCCGGGGACGCCGGGGACGCTGGGGACGCTGGGGACGCCAGGGACGCCAGGGACACCGGGGACGCCAGGGACGCCAGGGACGCCCGACGCCAGGGACGCTGGGGACGCTGGGGACGCTGGGGACGCTGGCCGAGATGTCCGGGGCCTTATGGGCACGTATTAAGCTCTGTTGAGGTCTTTCCTACAATTAGCAGAACTCAGGTTTTTTAAGCCCCTGTAAACCCAAAGTACATACTACGGTTGATGATATCAATCCTGGATGACCTTAAGGACCCGAAACTGTGGCAATTATGAAATATTCTTTATTTGGGAGTTTCCGAAAATAGGGGACCCTAATATAGTACCCTACATAGTAGGATCCTTATTATAAGGACCCCAAAAAATAAGGTACCCCCAATTTTCGGAAACTCCCATTTTGGGTCATGCAGGATGAATATCGTCAACTGCAGTAGGGCCCTTTCATCCCTAAACCCAAAGTACATGATGTAGGGGCCAAAATACTTACCAATGCCAGGCCATTTTGGGGGTTCCTTAGTATAATTATTGAGGCCCCTATAGTACAGGTACGTAGGGTCCTTTAACCCCCTAAACCCAAAGTACACACAATTAGTAGGGTCCCTTAACCCCTAAACCCAAAGTACATACTAGTACGGTCCTTTAGCCCCTAAACCCTGGGCAGTGCAGCTGAGCAGCTCTTGGCTGGTCCGTGGAGCTGCATACAGCCTGGGTCTTTATGCTCGCGGGTCGTTGCGTTTGTTTGCTGGCGAGGCGGGGGGTGGGGGTTAGGGTTTTAGTTTTTTTTTTAAGTTGGGGTGACGTTGCTTTGCCTGTCTGCCCGCGCGGCTCCCAACAAAATGACAAACTGAGGCCAACAATGCGAGGGGTTTAGGGTGTAGGGCATCTTTGGGCTCTCAGGGTTTCGTTTCGGTATCGTCTCCTAAAGTCTGAGTTTTCGAAACCTTAGTCTACAAGGAGTATCTGGTGGAGCCTTCTGGTCTCGGTTGAAGTGAAGGCTCTGAGCTCCCCAGTCGGTACTGTTGATGATATAAACCTTGCATTACCCATAATAAGGAATATACCATAATTCCCATAGTTTAGGGTCCTTAAGGTAATGCAGGATTTATATCATCAACCGTAGTTGCAGGGTCGGGGGAGTTAGTAAGTGTTCCTGTGAAGGGTTGCTGTAAGGGTGCTATGCGGGTAGCTGCAAGGCTTTTATGGGTTCGGAGGACTTCGCAAGTAGATAATAGCTTGCCGAAGTGAAGTTCCTGGACCCTGCAGCTAGGAAACAGAGAGACTGCGACATGCAGAATGTACACATAAGAGCACGGAAGCCCTTCTGCTGAGCTCAAAGCCGGTAACAAACTCATTTAGGTCGATGAGTCCGTTCTGGTCGCTGTCGATGATCATGAAGAGCGTGAAGACATCCTGTTTAGGTTTTTACAAAAGGGTTCCAGCAGTATCATTATTACTGTTTAGGTTCTTACTCCGTCCTCTTCACTGTCTACTCCTTCGTGGAACTATATAGGGCCTGCCGGGTGTAAACATCTAGGCTTCGGGTGTGGGCTGACCTCCAGCTCGGATCCCGTGATTCTGATTCTGTGCTTTGGCCTTTGAGGTTTGGGCTTTATGGGGCGTAAGGTTTGCTCCAGCAACCGCGCCACAACTTCCGCTTGACGCCTATCCTTCTGCTTCTTGTGCCTGCTACATCCGCGAATATTGCTGAAATGGTGTTCGTACACAGTGATAATCATGGCGATGATAACGTTGGTGTCGTCAGCGCGGTGATTTCAGTGCCAGTGCTAGTGGAACAACGCAATATGCATGATGGTGATCTATAGTTGTATTTGTCATGTTTATGGCCATGCCCGTCTTCAACCACTTCTACAAACAAGCGTCACCAGGACGAAGTGCTAATGCTACGTCGTTCCACCTGTATGCGGATCGTGAATGTATATAGAATAAATTTCTGATAGTCATAGTTGTGACGACGATGTAGGTGGTGACAGTTGTACCGAGGAAGCAGCACAACACCAACCTACGAAAAACACAGCAAGACGAGGGGCGACTGTCACCGAACATGCGATGCAGAACCACAAAGTCTGCTGAGCAGAGTCAAGTATTCACGATGTTGGTACTGATAGAACTAAAGCCTGAACCCAGCCGGTGGTCACTGCGATGGGCGATGATGGTGGTGGTGGTCCACATGGGTTGCAAGCCCTAAACCTTAATTCCAAACCCTAAACCCTAATCCCTAAACCCCTTAACCCTGAACCCTAATCCCTAAAATCCTAAACCCTAAACCCTCCCTAAAACCCTAAACCCTAAACCCCAAAACCCTAAACCCTCACGAGCAAGCCCCTGAAGTTTCGGATTCCTGAGGCCGAGATCTGTCTGCCGCAGAGGTTAGGGTTTAAGGCCCTCTCAGACCCTAAGACTCCAAGTATACAAATGGTACCTACTTTGGGGTTTAAAGCCTGTAAATACTACATACTTTGGGCTATTTGGAGTCTTAGGGAGAGGCTTCGCGACTCGGCTTGTAATCGCCGAGCCCCAACCCCTACAACATGTGTGTAGAACCTGATTGCAGGCTTAAAGCTTAAACCATGAACCCAATAAGGTACTATAAGCCCTGAAAACCACAACTACTCTGGGTTCTTGCTAGGGAGTTCAAACTAATTTACCATACTAACGAAGTCGTTTGATTAACTACAGGTCATCATCATGGAAATTTCAAATTAAGTTCCCTAGCAAGAACCTATCTATTCCGGACCTGAACCTTAAAACATAAGCCCTGAAGCTCTAGACCCTAAATCGTAAACCCTGAAACCAGAAAACTGCTGGGCGGAGATATTGACTTTAGTTGCACTCCCTATAGAACCCAGTTTACCCAAGATGGTCTGCGAGATAATTCCTTAGTAGGGTGTCCACAGAACCAACAAACCACCCTAAACCCTACAGCCCATACCATAAACACAAAATCCCTCAACCCCTAAACCCTAACCCCGAAACCCCTAAACCTTATGACCCCAAACCCAAAAGCCCTAAATCCCTAAACCCTTTAGGGTTTAAGTGAACCCAAAGAGTCCTGGGTGGAGATGCCCATGGATTCCAGGAAGCTGGCGAATTTTTCCGACTTCAGCGACTCCTGAGAGGTGTAGGGGTTCTCTTTAAAGGCGTAGGATCTAGTGTTAAGCGTGTAGCGCGTAGAAGTTAAGATTTAGTAAGCTTTGTGCTCTTCAAAGGCTGAGGATTTAGTGTTAAGGGGTAGGGCTTAGTATTAGTTTTGATTTAAGCTTAATTACGACTGCTTAGGGTTTTGTGCTGATTGCTTAGGGTTCAATCTGAAGTGTTGAGGCTTTACGGTTTAGGTTTTTTGACTCAGAGTCACTTTAAGGCTCCGCCGTAGTAAAGTGTAGGAAGTATAGGGGCCTTAATAATTAGAAGAGGCTTTTGGGATGGGGGCCATGAACAACAATTATAAGAAGGAACCCCGACATAGTATAGGTACTTATTTAGGCCCCTATATCATGCTCTTTTTCCCTAGGACCCAAAGTATGAAATCGTATCTTCTTCGGTGTCGAAAGTCTGGGAATAATACTTGCTTTAGGCCATTGGAGTCTTAGGGTACCTGTCCCCTTCCAGGAGGGATTCGGACTAAGCGCTCTAGGGAACTCCTTGAAGTCCCATGCTCAGGCTCAGGGTTCGGGTTTCAGGGTCTTACTTCTTTATTTTGCTTTGCTGTGGGTCCTGTCCCCACTGGGCTTTCTAGGGTTTAGGGTTCAGGGCTTAAGATTTCGGGTTCATGGCTCTTAGGGTCAGCGAGACCCCTAATTCCTAAGCCTTTAGGTAAGCTTAAGGCCCCCTCGAAGGCTTGAAAGACCCAGAGAGCCCAATACCCCTGAATCAAGAAATATAGCTTAAACCATGATATGCAGCTCTATATAATTCACATATTCCTTAATTTAAGGGTATTGAATTATTGGGCTCTCTGGGGACATGTCCCTAAACCCTAAACCCTAAACCGTCCAGTCCTTCAGCTCATCCACAGACACCATCTCGGACAGATCTTTGTCCATCTCCATGAACATGTCGCCTCCCAGGGTCCGAAATCTCTGCGGTTTTACCGAGACCCAAGGACGTACTATGACGTACTACATGTACCTATGTGTATATATATATATATATATATACATATACATATATATATATATATCTACATATATTTACATATATATATATATATACATACTTGATTTTTAAGGGTAATTAGGATTATCAAGCTCGAAGCTAGGGTGATCAAAAAACGCTATGTTTTCAGGTCTGGGTAGCCCATTCCATAAAGCCAGGAATGTGAATGATGTGTTGGCTCTAATCCGCGTGCCTATTTTACGAAGGCTCCATGTACCCCTATAGTACATACTTAAGACTTTAAGTACCTATATAGGTACCCCTTTAAGGCCTAAGTATATACTATCTGGCTAAATGAAGCCTTAGGGTTTCGCATGTGAAGACTTAAACCGCGGAATACCTATGCCGGAGCCCCTTTTTATATGCTACGTATACATATACGCCCTAAACCCTAAACCAGAATCAAATGCCTAAACCCAAAACCCGAAATGGACCCACAGGGATGCGCTTATGAAACACGCAGCTTGAAATTCTACGGAGTGCTCCCCCAGAGGCGGGGTTCGTAGGATTGACGGCTTAGCATGGCAACCGGCCAAAACTAGCAACCAACAAGAAGTCCTGAACGAGACTCGACTCACTACACCCAACACCCTAAACTCGACGCGAAACCTCTGATTCCTCTAAAGACAACAACGAACCGAAACCTCTAAATCCCACAAAGACAAAAGGAACCTGATATAGACGCCGTTAAAGGGACCCTTTAAGGAACCCTGGTGGGCCCTAAAGCCGGAACCCCACCATCATGTGCTGCCAGGTGACGCAGGACGCTAATTTGCGTCGCCTGCTTCTGCATCTGGCTCATGACGACAATTTCCTGCCGTCCGAAACTAGGGTTTAGGGTTTAGGGTTTAGCGACAATTTCTTGCCGTCGAAACTAACAGCTGCTTGATAATCAACCTAATTACCTATAGCCACGCCCTGTAGTTAGTGTAGTTATAAATCCCAAGATCCTCTAAGTAATCCAAAGGGTCCTATGTACCGGTATAGTAGAATGTTGGACTTCCATATTAGGAATTACTATTATGCCTTAGGGGAGTATCCCCGACAACTGTACATAGGACCCTTTGGGGTACTAACAGCTATTTGACAATAGGCTTTCAAACTTCAATCCACAACAACCTAAACCCTAAACCCTAAACCTGTTTCTGCGGTTCCCAAAATTATTGGCATATCGCAACCAGGAGTCTACGGCTGGAAGGGACGTGAGCTGGGTCGAAAGCGCGAACCACGTATGCTGCACAATGTCGGTCTTAACTATCATTTCTTACATTAAACAGGGGCTCCTTCCTACGGGTTTACTTACTATAGCACGATAACACCGCACTCCTTCAGGGCCGAAATGAAGATGCTGTTTGTTGGGTTATTGACGCAAGCAGAATGACATTTGGGGATCAGCAAGCTATATGTGTATATATATATATATATGTATATGTATATGTATATTTATATATTATATTATATTAGATATTATGTGAGATCATATATACCTATATATGTAAAATATATATATATATATATATATATATGTATACATATATATATATTATAATACACAAACACATGTTTGTAGACAGGGACAATCGGGGAAATTATGGTCCGGACATGCTCAGACCCCTCTCCTTTAGGGGCCTTAATAGTTAGAACAGGATTTGGAGGTATACTATACCATACTCATAATGAGGAACCCGCAACATAGTAGTAGTAATTCTCAGGGCCCCCTGTAGTATGCTATTCCCCGACAGCTTGGCACCGAGCGCCTTATCTGCTGATGCAGACTCGATGGCTGTGTGGCAGAACCTTGGACAATGCACATGTCAGACTTCAGGGTTTCGGTGTTTAGGGTTTATGGGTTAATGGGTTTAGGGTTAGGGTTGAAGGGTATAGGGTTCAGGGTTTCCGGGCTCAGGGTTTAGGGGTTTAGGGTTTAGAGCTGTGTTCTTCTTCCACCCAACCCTCAACCCTACGCTGAGCACTTACGAAAGCGGAAACCCTGCCGTAGACTTTACATAAACTAAGTAAATACCTATAGCCTAGTACTGTAGCAGAACGGTGCAGCCCGGCAGCACGCCAGTCACGACCTCAGCAGCACGATCTAAACCTTTTGCTTACAGCGTTCGGGTTTCTTTAAGGTCCAGAGGTTTTTTTTATATTATAGAGTTTAAGGGATTTAGGTGTACAGGGGTTTCAGAAGCATATACATATACATATGTATGTATGATATTATGCATATATGACAGCATTGAGTCCTTCACAGCACTTTACTTGTACTTGAAGGATCATTCTGGGAATGGGTGGGTCTTCCATGTCTGTAGCAGTTTACAAAATCTGGTACGACTGTATGAACTTCTGACGGGGCTGCGGTAGTCACGGCACATTCCTGGCAAGTTATTTTGGCGCGGCTGACAACCCATCGCTGACGTCCCCGGCCCGAAAACCCTCCAACCCTATTCAGAACCCGTCGACTCCCCAAAACAGCCTCACACGATCCCAGAAATATGTTGCGGTGTCTATAGCCTGCTGCCAACATCGCATTCTGCGTTGTTGGCTGGATCGAGGTTTGCGACTTATGGCGAGGAGAGGCTATAGGGAATCGGCTTGCCGCTACAGAGTCGGCTGCAGAGTTGAAGGGGAGTTTATGTAGAGTGTAGGGTTTTTTTTCATGGGACCACTATGGTGTCTCCAGAATGGGCCCCCACAAATAGATACCGCAATTCAGGCTAAAAAAGATCTGATAAGCCTTAGGCCTTAAGCAGATTAGGCAGCGATATGCCTTTGAAACCTGAAGCCTAAGCTGTGGCGGGCATGCCCCCCAAACGATTAAAACAATTCGAACTTATTGAGCTCTAGTAAGCACTAAGTAGTCCTAGTAAAGCTTATGTCCCTATAAGTGTTTATAAGTCCTTTTATTGTCAAGCGTGGCTTTGAGTTTCGGCGATGCCCGCTAACTACCGACTGTTGATGCCCATGACATTATTCTTGCTTTGCGGGGGTGCATCATGGAGAGGTGCAAAGGCTACCCATGAGTCATTGTCCCCCAAATTCGTGATTAGGTGGTAGCTTCTCGTTGTCTGGCAAGCATACAGAATTTTCCGTGGTGAAAAAACCCCGGTTTTGATCCCCTGAACCCTACACCCTAATCTTACTGAGCACCCACGTGTTTCCAATTCCAAGGTGAGCCACGGACTTTCAGAGCAAACCTGACAAAACCCAAACCTGCGACAACCTCCAAAACAGCACACAGATACAAAGCCCTCTAAATATGAAAGCCTTGAACCAATAATATCTAAACCCTATATCCCTTTGGGTCTATATTTTGACGACATGAAAATCACCCCCCCCCCCCCCCCAAGGATCAAGGAGTACTTTGCTGAAGAGAACAATGGACCCTGCCCCTACGCCCCAAAAGCACCATGAAACCGGAGCAGTTGAAGAACTCTACACCCTCCAGGTCCCAGATCCCCATAAAGCCCATTAAAACCAGGTAGAAGCCCACAGAATCCTGAACAATCTCAGGGTTTAGGGGTTTTGGGGGGATTTACCCAACGGCGTTTCCTAGTGATAAACTCACCCGTACCATACAAACACTAGGTTATCCTCATAAACCATGCATTAAGCCGCAAATTTTGGGTGCCGTTTGAGCCGCATTTTTATTTGTGTAAGAACCCTTTCGGAGTTTGACTATATCACAACAACACAATACAATTCCTAAGTGAATTCAGCTTCATGCCCTAGGCAGCAACGAAACCCACCCTAAACCCCTAAACCCTAAACCCCTAAACCCTAAACACCTAAAACCCTAAACCCCTAAACCCGTAAACCCTAAACCGTGGCTCAAAGACTGAGTTCGGCTCGTTCAGCACAGCAAAAACTGTCAGAAAGATGTACAGCAGCATGCAGGCCACTGCAATAAAGGAGACATCCTGAGACTAGATGGGATTGACTAGAGATTTGGGTTATGGCTTAGGGCCACCGCAATAAAGGAGACATCCTGAGAATAGATGGGATTGATTAGAGATTTGGGTAATGGCTTAGGGTCACTGCAATAAAGGAGACATCCTGAGGATAGATGTTGAGAGATTAGGGTTTAGGGCGTCTGGTTACTGCAACAAAGGGAGACACCCTCAGAACAGAAGGGATCTGGGGGTTTAGGTTTTAGAGTTCAGTGTTTATGTATGCTTAGAGCTCACGGGCGCTATCCTCAACAAAATGCTGTTGCAAGGGTTCAGTGTCCAGGGCTTCTCGACTGAACAATGTTGCAACTTCCAAGAAAGCTTTACGATGCTTCACGGGTCTTCGCCGTCAACTTTCGACTGCCCCAATACTGTTGCAATGTTTGTATGTCTTCGAGGGTTGGTTTAACTCCATTTCCCTGAACCCTAAACCTGTGGTAAGATGGAGCTGGCTGTGCGCAAAGCCGAGTATCCAGCCTTGGGTTTTTAGTGTTGTGCGCTCATATAGTATTATAGTATTTCTAGGGACTCATAATATGGGAACATGGTGCGCAATCATGGTGAACCCTGCAGAACCCCTGAGAGCCATGCCAAAGCCCTAAACCCTAAACCCTGCACCCAGCTGCAGGATCTGTGATCCGTTCCCGACAGAAGGTAGTCAAACACTGCTCGAAATCTTGAGAAAAGAAACCCTAATAACCCAAAACAAACACGACAAAAGGAAACTAAGAGGCTAAACCCGACAAAATGAACCTTAACAAACCCCATTATTTTCTACACCCCGGTGCAGTAGAAGTCCAAACGTTGCAAACCCAATAGCCCCAATCCTTGGAGTAGTGCATTGTCATAAGGAATCCCAGCTAAGTGTCCCCAATCCGGATTCCAACTCTTCGGGGTTTACGATATACAGCTCTGGACAGTGCAGCTGCAGGGAGGGGGCGATCGCACAAAGCTCGAACCGGGTGTCATTCTCTTCAACGGTTCAGGTTTAGGATTTTAAGATTTAGGCTTAGGGTTTAGGGATTCGGCTGGGCTTTGTTCTTACTTAAGGAATAGTAATTGTGCTAGTCATTCAGGACCCTAAACCGTAAACTCTAAACCATAAACCCTACCTACACCCGAAACCCCACCAAAGCTGCTTCAAAGCGGCGCGTAAAGGCACCAGCGGTTCCACCCAGCCTGGGTTCCGTTTCTTGCGTCTGAGGTTCAGGGTCGAATTTAAGGTTTAGGGTTTAGCGTGATTCAAGGACTCAGCACGTTCATTCTGGGGTCTGAGTGATTGGTAACCCTAAACCCTAAACCCTAAACCGTGGTGGCTAAAGGGTTCAAGGACTCACGAGGTTCATTCTGGGCTGAGTGATTGGTAGAAGTGGCCGCTTCTATTCCCGGAGTGTGTGCGCTGGCGATCCCAGTCCGACCCCCGATACTAATGTAGGGCTTTAACTTAATATTTAGAATAGGGTTCTGTGGGATATTATCAAGCACAATAAGAAAACCCCCAAAATAGTATAGGTACTTCTCAAAGCCCCCCATAGTATTCCTGCCACAAAACCACAAGAAAGCCCAGAAAGCTCCAGCCTAATTCGCTGTTCCCAACCGTTCCAGAGGGTGGGTTTAGGGTTTAGGGTGCATTACCAAAAAACCTAAACCCTCTACCCTACCCATAGGCTCCATAGTAGTTCCTTTTTGGGATTACCTTATGGGGTTTGAACCCCGAAAAGGAACTACGATGGAGCCTTTAGGTAAACCCTATAAACCCCAAACCTTCAACCCGAATCCCTCAACCCGAAACCTGGAAGCTGATTCCCGAAGCCGTTCGACGGGGCCGGGAGGGGGGAACCCCACATCCTGAAAAACCTGAACTTTGCCTCTTAAACCCGATATACAAGCCCTGAAACACTCCCTAAACCCTGAACCAAAAAAACTCTAAACAAAAAAGCCTAAGCCCCCAAACTCTGAAGCCAAATCTCTGAACCTGAAAGCACGAAGTGCATGTCAAGCTTCTGATGCCCCCGGAGATCGACATAAAGAGTGTGAGCATGCTCTCGGGCACACTTGACCAGTACCTCTCGGGTTTAGGGTTTAGGGCTCAGGGGATATTGGGTCTGGCGTCTCTCGGACTTGTAAGCATTTTGCATCACCTATACCTCAGCATGTGATGGCTTTTGTTGGCATCCTTTATATTGTCAGGATCCTACAAACTAGGATAACCCAAAACGGCTTAGGGTTTAGATTACTACATGTTAGTGTCTGGGTAGGTTTTAGACGACATGATCGGAAGCCAAAGAGTTTGGAGTCCCCAAAACCCTAAGGCAAAGAGGTCCAGCCGGGAATACCGCTCGCTCGAACACCTCTTGGTGAGATTCAACTTGGAAGCTTCCGAAAACAAGGGGACCTCGTCTTGGGGTCCTTATAACAAGGATCCTACTAATTAGGGTACTATATTAGGGTCTCCTATTTTCGGAAACTCACACGTTGATAGTAGTCACGATAACATCTCCAGTAATAGCAGTAGTAATAGAAGAAATGGTAGTAGTGGTCGTCGGAGTCGTATCAACAATAGTCGTCGTCGCCCTAGTCGTCCTAGTCCTACTACTACTACTACTATACTACTACGACTCCTACTCCTACTACTACTCCTACTACTCCTACTACTCCTACTACTCCTACTACTACTACTACTACTACTACTACCACTACTACCACTACTACTACTACTACTACTACTACTACTACTACTACTACTACTACTACTACTACTACTACTACTACTGCGACGACGACAACAACGGATATTACGACTACTACGACTAGTGCTGCTAGTAGTAGTAGGCGCCGTCGTAGTAGCAGTGGTAGTAGTAGTCGTCGTCGTCGTAGTAGTTGTCGTCGTAGAAGTAGTAGCAGTAGCATTAGCAGCAGTAGCAGCAGTAGCAGCAGTAGCAGCAGTAGTAGCAGTAGTAGCAGTAGTAGCAGTGGTAGCAGTAGTAGCAGTAGCAGTAGCAGTAGCGGTAGCGGTAGCAGCAGCAGCAGCAGGAGTAGTAGTATTAGTAGTAGTCGTAGTAGTAGTAGTAGTAGTAGTAGTAGTAGCAGTAGCAGTTTTGTTGCTGTAGTAGTAGTAAGTAGCAGCAGCAGCAGCAGAACTCCATCCCCCAATGAATTGACCAAAGCCCGAACCCTGATAAGCAAAACGGGAGGGCAAAGACTCAAGGTGTCTCGCTAAAGCCAAGAACCCTGAACACCCTGAAATCCAAAATCTTCAGCAACTTGGAGGTTCATGTCATGGGTAGTTATAATCGGGGTTATAAGTCCCCCAATATGGGTTATTAGTTATCCTACTTATAGCTCTACTTATAACTACCCATGAACCTCCAGCACCCTAAACCCTAAACCCTAAACAGACCCTGAAGAAAGCGTGGCAGTGCGGCAGAGCCAGGGTCGGATCACAGATGGGCACTGCGTTGTTATCCCCGGTCGCCTGGTTTAGGAGAGATCCCTACCTTAAGGACTCCAGAATAAAGTAGGGTTTAGGGTTTAGGGTTCAGGGTTTAGTTCCTTAAAGACGAAAAGAACCCTAAATGGGTTTAGGGTTCATATACCATATTGGGATTCATAGCAAAATTGTGTGGGGCCCCCTTCTTTTAAGGGTCATTTGGTCCTTGAGGTACTTGTGGAGTATTTTGGGGAACTGAGGGATAACCTAATTATGGGAGTATGTTGGGATTATGTAGGGGTTACAGAACCCCAAAGGTTCAAGGTCAACTACTCTACTACTAGAGATCTAAACCAGGGCTTTGGGTTTGAGGGCTAAGCGCTTTTTGAAGGTGTACGCAAGGCTTTCCCCTTAAACCCTAAAACCCCAACCGCTTAACCCACACTCTACGTGAAGGAAAACGCTTAAACAATTTTAACAATTTTGTATGATGCCACGCCCGAGGACGTGCACACCGGCGCCCCCCATGCGTAAGGTCAGCCCTGCAGGGTTTGAGAGGTTCCAGTCCCGCAGGCCGTGAGGTCGCCTCCATATGAAAGACATTCTGGACCAACAACGTCTCATCCACCACTAGCGTCCGAACCCGGAGCACCACCTCCGCAGCCTAGCCAAAAGGGCCAGGCGATCATGTGCCGCTTGCGTTCCATGCAAACCTTGCAGATCACAAAAGCTGTACACTGTACGCCTCCAAGGAAAATCCAAAGCAGGGTAGCAGGCACGCCAAACCAGGCGTCTCCGCCACGCTGTGCACGCCCACGAACGGGCGGGGTCAAAAATGAACTGTACACCTCCACATGCGACTAAGCGATACCACACGCAGGGCCCGCAGCCGGAAGGCCGCCAGACGCCCCATACGCACTGATGCACAGTGCGCCTGCCAAACGAGAGAGGCCGAGGAAACCACAGCCAGGTCCCACCATACGAACCGTAACGGTGCACCTCCAGAATGCGCCACCGGTGACAACGCCCCGAAGAGCGAAGCCCCCACACCGACGACGACCAAGTAAGAACGAACCTTCCAAGACAGCGGAGGGACGCCGTCTCCACCCAAGCCAGCGGCAAGCAAAGCTCGTCTCCCCCACTCGGATGAACCACCACCAAAAAAGCCAGCAACCAAGGCCGGGGTAGAGCCCGGATCGTAGCTCCGACCGAAGTCTCCCTTTGAGGTGAAACCTCTAATGGTACAGGTAATACCATCGCACGGCTAGCCGCACCGATAGCAGCCTCAAACGTCGTGCTTCCTATTGCACAAGCCACCACAACACCTGCGCTGACGACGTAGGTAACGCCGTCCGGAGTAATTTATAGTCAGGTCGATTCCCGCCGCCGTGGTTCGCAGATCCAGCCTCCCCCACAGCGGCCCCTCCCCGGAGAGGGAGGAAAACGCTTAAACCCTAAGTGAAACCCATTTCTTGCACCCTAACCCCTAAAATCCACAAAACCTGGGCCCAGGGTTTAACGTTGAATCGTGTTGTTGGTCCCTTGGGAAAGGGGGTGTCGCTTCAATGGTTCTATCAAGATTGAGAACTTAGGGATTCAAGGTGTCTGGATTGGGGAAGCATCGCCTGTGTGAACCCTGAGCCCTAAATCCTAAAGGCCCTAAACTCTTTAGCCTCTAACCCTGAACCCTAAACCCTAAAGGCCCTAAACCCCGTAGCCGTTAACCCTGAGCCCTAAACCCTAAAGGCCCTAAAGCCTTTAACCCTGGACCCTAAACCCTTTAGCCTGCCCTAATTGTAGTATCCTTAAGGGAGGGGGGTCCAAGGGGGGTATATAGCCTATTGATCCCTAATTCTCCCTAGTACTCCCTAAGGTTCCCTTACAGTCCCCTAAGGATTCCTTATACCCTCCCCCCTTGAACCACCCTCCCTTAAGGATCCTATAACCTATAACCCTAAACCCTAAACCCAAAACCCTAAACCCTAAGAACCCTAGAACCATAACCCTAAACCCCTAGAACTCCTGATACCCTCCGAACCACCCTCCCTTAAGGATCCTATAACCTAAGCCCTTCAGCCTCGAACCCCGAAACCTGCACCTCAAGCCTTGAAACCAGTGCGGACTCGGATTTGGGATCCCTTTCTCTCGACATGTTCTGTGGGTATCAAAGGGGAAAAGGAGGGACCCTTAATTTAGGTCTCTTAGGGTTCCTTTAAAGGGATCTAATAAGGGTTCCTTTAAAGGGATCTATAGGGTTTAGGGTTTAGGGTTTAGTTCAACCAAAAGGGGAAAAGGAGGGACCCTTAATGGGGACCCCTATAATGGGTATATAGTAGCTATATTAAGGGTATATATCTAGGGGTCCTTATTAAGGGTCCCTCCCTTTACCCTTGGAGGGTAGTTATTCAACGAACTTCAAAGGCTAAATGGGAATTTCCGGAAATTAGGGGTACCTTGTTTTGGGGTTCTTAGCGAAGGATCCTACCATTTAGGGCACTATATTAGAGTCCCCTAGTTTCGGAAACTCCCATATGCCCGCACCCCAAACCTCAAATAACAAACCTCAAACGCATGGACCCTAAAACCCTAAACCCCTAAACCCTAAACCGTAAATCCTAAACCCTAAATCCTAAGTCCTAAACCCTAACCCAAGGGCCTCAACGGTTTCAAACCTGCAGTGGTCGGTCACCACTTGCGTCAGGATAACGCCTGAGATAGGACCCAGCTTGAGAGCCCATAAGGTTTAGCTTAGGTTTAGTGTGTTTTTGGGTTTAGGGTTCAGCTCTTGGGGTTTAGGGGTCATGCTTTTAGGGTATAATTAGTGTTTCTTTTTCAGGTTTAGAGTTCATGTGTTTTGGTTTAGGGTTTAGGGTCTAGGGTTTACCTTAAACCCCCAACAGCCGACCTCTTTTCAGGACCTCCATACGGAAACCACAAGAAGGAGCCCGAAGAAGGAAGGTGTTTGGGTCCTTGCTGAGTAGAGGCAAGGTTTAGTGGTTTTGCCAAGATCCCCAACTACCCTCTGATATACCCCAAATACCCACTGTTAAGGGGCGTACGGGCACTATCAAAAGGCCCTTAATGAGGGTCCTGGTAGTTCTTCACATCGGTTTCGGGTTTACAGCCCTAAACCCTAAGCCCCAGACGGCCCTAAACCCGAAGCGCCGAAGCCCTAAACGGCCATGAACCCTAAACCCTAAACGACCCTAAACCCTAAACCCGAAGCCCCAAACAGGTTTGAAGGCTCGGGAATTTTGCAGGGGTTTAGGGGTCCCTTTGAGGCTTAAGGGTCAACGACGGCTAGTTCGTGCTTCTATAAGGAGTGTCCCTCAAAACATAGTGGTACTTCCTACCACAGACACCCCAATTTCTACTTTGTAGGTGCGAATACTTTGGATTCTTTTGGGTGGGTTTAGGGCTCAGGGTTACTGCTTACGGTGAGCATTGAGAATACAGGCCCCGTAGATGGCACGGACCACGAGTAATTGCGGACCGAAGGGTAACCGAACAGCAAGGAGATTGCATCCCCCATGTGAGAAACCATGTATGGGCGCTGAGGCATGACTGCTTTTGTGGTTCATGTGGTGGAAGCACCGAGGAAAAAACAAGTAAGTCAGCAGAGTGCCGAAGAGCTGCAGCACAGTATATGCGAAACCTGCCCGATTGCTTCTAACCCGCAACGAACCGGCACAGTAATTTGAGCAGCTTGTTGAAGCCCTGCGCTCTAAACTATCGAACCTTCCAAGTCGAACCGGAATCTACACACCCGAAACACCAACAACACCGTTGTGGTAAACTGACCCCTGCGGCCTGCTAAAACCCAAGACCCAGAAACCCCTAATTCCCAAGTCAAGGGGCCGAAGCTGTAAAAACCCTAAAACCCTAAACCCCCAAAAACCCCAAAACCCTAAAACCCTAAACCCTAAAACCCTAAACCCTAAACCCTAAACCCTAAAACCCTAAAACCCTAAAACCCTAAACCCTAAAACCACCAAAACCCTAAAACCACAAAAACCACAAAAAACCCTAAAGCCAAAGGGCCGAAGCTGTAAAAAAGAAGCACGAGAAGGACCAGAGTCCACATGAGGGAGCCTCCAGCCAGTCTTCGGGGTTGGGGGCTGTGGGTATAGGGGTTTCGGGGTGTAGGTGTCTAGGGGTTTTGGGGTTTAGGGGTTTGGGGTTTTGGGGGGGGGTTTGGGGGTTTAGGAGTTTTGGGGCTTAGGGGCTTTAGCGTTTAGGGTTTGGGGTTTAGTTACTTGGAGAATCCTGTGACTTAGTTACTAGCGTTTCGTCTATGGCAACTGTACTTATAGCCTCCAATTAAGGTACTTATAACCTTACTTACGAAGTTCAATGAGAACCCCAAGTAACACGTCTTCTGGGATGTTCTAACGGTGTAGCCAACCCCAAAGCCTGAGTCCCTGAATCCTAAACCCTTCTACAACCCGTATAGTAGCCCTGGGCCCTCAATCACCCTAAGTAGGGGCCTTCACTGGAATAAGGTTTGGGGGTATAGTACGGTACAAGTAGCATGAGGAACCTCCAAAATAGTATTCGTACATATCATGTAGAAGAGTTCGCGCTTGCTGCAAAAATTAAACTTTCCTCGAAGAAGGCCTGAAGGCCAGAAATGACCTTCTTTGCTTCCACAGTTCAGGGGTACCCCGTTTGTGGTTTAGAGGGTCTATGGGTTTAGGGTTGTTCGGGGCCGACGGTTCGCGGGTTTAGGATGTAAGGGCTTTAGGCTTTAGGGCCTTTAGGGGCTCAGGGGGGAAGGTTGGGCCCAGAGCTTGGGTGATAGAGAGCTTACCTGCGCATGTGTCGGACTTCGGGAATTTGCGAACTTGCCGGGGATCCAGTCTAAGGCTTTTTGGGATTCAATAGCGAAGCCTCAATACGAATCATCATTGCTATAAATAATTATAACTGATATATATATATATATATATATATACACACACGCTATGAATATGTATATATGTATATGTATATGTATACACACATATATATATATATATATATATTATACATCTATATGTAAGTATTTGTATTTATTTACGTTGAGATGCCCCCAACCCTGTTCAGATCATTGAGGCCGCTAAGATGGAACCCTAAAGACTTTCCCAGAAACCGTAACAGAACCCCTCAAGGAACGCTATTCCGAGTTCTTGCCATTACCACTAAACCCTAAACCCCTAAAACCCTAAACCCTAAACCGTGGCTGTTTGGGAGTTTCCGAAAACTAGGGGTACCTTATTTCGGGTCCTCATAACAAGGATCCTACTATTTAGGGTATTGTATTGGGATCCCCTGTTTTCGGAAACTCACACTTTGATAGGAACCACACCTTAAACCCCTAGAACCCTAAAACCCTAAACCCTAAACCGTGGCTGAATTGAATTCTAAGCAAAACTCGGATGGCCAGCTCCTGCTCTCCCCTTCTTCTTGGGCAAAGGGTTTGTTACTGACGCTTCGGGCGTAGAGACTTGCCCAAGGGTCCAAATGACCCAATTATTAGGTACTCGGGTTTAGGATGGTAGTTATCTAGGTTAGGATTCTGGTGGGTGTGTGATTATCGGGTACTTGGACCCTTAGGGCTGAATATAGGGGCCTTACTAAAGCCACAACCCGAAAACCCTCTTCCGGCTTTCATTACTAGCCACGGCATAAGGCTTGCAGGGATTAGGATCTAGGGTTTAGGGTTAACTGCCAAGTCAGCGCATGCAAGTGCATGAACATAAGTACAACTATGAACGGACACATGCACGTATAAATACAAACAGGAATGCAGGATATATAAAGAAGGAGAGAGACGGAGAGAGAGAAAGAGAGAGAGAGAGAGAGAGAGAGAGAGAGAGAGAGAGAGAAAGAGAGAGAGAGAGAGAGAGAGAGCGAGAGCGAGCGACCACAAGGAGAAACACATTCTCATGACTCAGGTCTCTATGTTGCACAATTTTGATGGAAACACTAACCCCCCGGGGCTCTATGTACCACATAATATATACACATCTATATATATATATATATATGTATATATATATGTACATATATATATATATATACATACATACATACACACTTAAGCCTTGTCTATACAGGTACCTTAGATTCTCAGGGCCAATGTATACACTATTATGGCACATGGACTTGGGTGGTGCTTGCCATGTCCCTCAAAAGAGGCCGATAGTAGTTAGGCTTTAGGGTTTCGAGTTTAGGGCTTCACCAACACGCTTGACTAGATCCAAGACTAAACCTAGGAATAAAAAGGGTGCCCTTTTGGGGTAAAGGGGGTTATAGCGGAACCTCAACCCTAAACCCTAACAAAGGGAATACGGGCCTACTCTGGGTCCTAGTTTAGGGTTTACCCGAAAAACTAAGCAAGCTACCAATTGAAGCCATGATTTCCATGCAACAACCCTAAGAGAAGGACCTATGTACTGTTATGGGGGATACCTCCCTAAGTCATAATAGTAATTCCTGATATGGAAACCCTACATTCTACTAAATCGGTACGTAGGACCCTTTGGGATTCTAAGATTTCGGTGGACAACTTGTGAGATTTGGGAGTTTCCGAAAATAGGGGATCCTAAATAGTAGGATGCTTATTATAAGGACCCCCAAAATAAGGTACCCTACTTCGCAGACACTCGCATTTAGGAACACCAGTCTTAAAGGACTAAGGAGCCGCATAATTAGGGAACCCTCAACCCTCAGTGTGCCAGGTACTTAGAGGATCATGGGACTTAGTAAGTAAGGTTATAAGTACCCTAACTGGGGTTGTAAGTAATTATAACTAAAGTTGCCCTTACTTATAACCCTAGTTACTAAGTCCCCTGATCCTCCAAGTAAGCATTAGAAGAGGAAGGACCCGAGCCTGATAAAGAATCCTTGGTCCTACAACCCATGTAAAGAACCCCAAGAAAGACCCAGGGTTTCTTAATCAGATTCCTGTATTAGGCACATAGTATGTACTTGAAGGAAACTCAGCAAGTGCCGATCCTCCACTTCGAAACACCTAGAACCCGCATAGCATCAATCCCTCCGTAGACGACGCCTGTCGTGTGTATGATGGAGAAGATGAGGGTCCGCAATGCGCTGACCTTTGCAGGTGTGTGGAGGTGCTGCTGGTTCACCCTAGGCCTGGGGGTCCATGTACCAAAATTGTATATAAGAGTGGTTGTCAAAATTACGGTCCCCTTTTGGGTCCCTATTATAATACGGCACCAATTATTTAGGGTATCCAGAAAGGGACATTAATTTTGACAACCACCCATGTGGCCATAAAGCATTCCCTATATATTGGTAGTTGGGTGCCTACGTATATGCTACTTGGTACATGGACCCTTAGGTGCAAGAATCCGATATGTACAGGTTCCATTTTGCCTTTTTTCGGGCGTTTAGGATGCCAGCCTTTAGGGGTGTTGCTTTAGGGTTTAGGGGGCATGTTAGGATCCCCTTAAAGGTACCCTTATAGATCCCTTTCAAGGAACCCTAGGATTTATATCATGAGCCGTATTTGGGTACATGGACCCTTACTTGGAGGGTCGGGGGACTTAGTAACTGGTTATTTTAGGGACTAATAAGTACCATAACCCCAATTAGGGTCCCTTTTAGGGTACTTATAAGTCTACTTACTACCTACTTACTAGATCCCCCGACCCTCCAAGTAGGGTTTAGGGGGTATGTCAGGATTCAAGGTCTCGGTTTCTGCAGGGTTTAAGAGCTTGGGAGTTCTGGGGCAGAGAAGCCCTTACGTAAAAGTGCAGGAGTTCGGCCTTGCCTAAAGCACTACTTGAACTAGGGTTTTGCGACGCTTCGACAGGGAGAAAGGGTGGGAGACTTCGCCTAGACGCTTGTGGCACAACATTTGTTTCTAGATTGGAGGTTTTTAGCCATGAAACAAGTTATCCGAAAGAGTACTAACCCTGAGAACACACACACAGAGTATCGTAAACCCTTAGAATCATTGAAGTACTACGTTCAAGGTTCGAGGTCAAGCTAGGTCTAGAGGCACTTCTCAACCCAAGCGTAGCTATTCGGGAGTCATGCTTGGAGCAGTAGCCGTGCTTCGTCCCAGGGTCAACTATGTACCTTTAGGCTCCATTGCAGTTGCTTCTTGGGTTACCTTATAGGATCCAGAATAGGTAAATCCTCGAGAGGAACTACAATGGAGACTAAAGGGGGGATATGGGGTGTAGGATTTCGGCTTAGGGTTTAGATCTCCGCGACTTTTTCATGTATTGTATACTGGCCCTTCATGCTAGATAGGCAGATTTCTGAATCTGAAACTCATAACTACCCCGGAATGCTTCAGCAAACCCTAAACCCCCCTAAACCTCTAAACCCTAAAATTTTCCTAAACCCTGAACCCTACACTTAAACCCGAAAGCCTGTACCGGGCCTTAGACCTTAGACTCAGCCAAGCCACATACCGTAGAAGCTTCACGACTCGCATCCCGCGCAGAGCACGAGCAAGCCGCATGAAGCGCATGTAGCGCATCTGGGAGATGAGGCCTGTCTCAAACCCTAAGACTCCAAGTATACAAATTGTACCTACTTTGGGGTTTAAAGTCTATAAATACTACATACTGTGGGCTATTTGGAGTCTAAGGGAAAGCGACTCACCCATACTCAGGGATCCCAATACCCCTTAATTATATGGAATATACCCTACATTCTTGGGGCCTTCATATTATGGTTTAAGGTATATTCCTTAATTAAGGGGTATTGGGATCTCTGGGTAGGGTCATACCCTGCACCTTGCTAGTCTTGTGGTATGGATCTGTCATTCAGAGAAGTAGGTACTACAGTTGATGATATAAATCCTGCACTACCTTAAGGACCCTAAACTATGGGAATCATGGAAAATTCCTTATCAAGCGTCATGCAGGATTTATATTATCAACCGTACCGTGACAAAAGGGGTAGGGTATGACCCTTCAGGTACGGCTTACCCCAAGGGTCCCAAGGACCCACTTATTAGGTAGTCGGTTTTGGGATTGTAGTTATGTAGGTTAGGATTTTGGTGAGTATATGGGAGTTTCCGAAAATAGGGGACCCTAACACAGTACCCTAAATAGTAGGATCCTTATTATAAGGACCCCAAAATACGGTACCCCTAATTTTCGGAAACTCCCATATGGTTATCAGGTACTTGGACCCTTAGGGTTAGGGTTGAAAACGTGTGGGGTTCTTGCTCTGCCTTTCCGTCACGGCTTAATGGTTAAGGGTTTAGGGTTTAGGGCTCGTCGAGGCATCTATAGAAGCCTTCTATAGCAGCTTTTAGGGTTAGAGTTACAGAAATCAGACAGGGCGGCCGTGGACTACGCACGGTATACATACACACATATATATATATATAGAGAGAGAGAGAGAGAGAGAGAGAGAGAGAGAGAGAGAGAGACAGACAGACAGAGAGAGAGAGAGAGAGAGATGCCTGAAACCTATGGAGCTGAGACCCAAGGAAGCACAATCCTTAGGCATACTCTCAGGAGAGTACCAGGCTTCTGAGCAGAGTGTCCGATCCAAGCCTTGTGTCTCTGATGTGCGCCATGGGCTGAACACAATGACCCTCACCCTTAGGCTCTAAGGACTCATATTTTAAGGCATTTGGGCCCAAAGACCATCCTATAGAAGGCTTTGGGGCTATTTTGAGCCTTAGGGTTAAGGATTAAATGACCCTTAAAAGAAGGGCACAAGCAAACAGACCAAGGATCTCGCAGGTAAGACTAGTGCCCGCGTTGGATGTGATGTCCAAGAGTCGAACCGCCAGAAACTATTTGCCACACAAGGTGGTGCCGCTGTCGGCGTGAATCTGCATGTTCCTGATATGCTCCCACGCTCCGGCCTGCGTCGCCACTTCCCGAAGGCGAAGCATTTTGGCCACTTGGTCCTTACTCCGGACCTGCTTGGTCCATATAAAGAACCCTAGTTAGACCAGGCTTTCTGAATCATGTTACTACACTACTACCCACATACAGTAACAGTCTATAAGAACTCTGGCCTTGTATACCTGCATTGTTAGCATTATTCAACTTTGAATGAGTGACTGAGTGAGGGCGTACCACGAAGTACCCAAGCAATACCGTGAACCCGGGGTATCTCAGTTTCAATGGGAACGCATGGTAAGCCCCTAAACCCTAAAACGCCAAAACATAAAGCCTGAATGCCAAACCCGAGACCCGGAAACACAAACACCCCTCAACTACACACACCCTCAAACCGCAAATCCTTAAATCGCTAAAAACCATAAACCCCAAACCCTCACCGTCAAAAACACACCCTAAACCGCGAGAATAAAACCACTCCAACCCCAAATCGTAAACCACAAACAAACCTACAGCGCCTAACCGTCAAACACGAAGAACCCCAAAACCCCAAACCCTAAATGCCGGATATCACCAAAACTTTAAAATCCCGGAACCCCAAACCCTAAACTTTTATGGAGCTGCACCTTCTCTCAATTGGGTATAGGTCGTCTGCGCTACCAGGCCCCAAGGCCCCTCTAGAACCTTCATGGAACCCTTTAGGGTTTAGGGTTTAGGGTTTAGGGTTCCGGGGGGTCTCCGGAAAGGCCTGGCGACCATATCTGCACAGCAGTCTCGAAGACGGACAAGGTGATAATGACCTTCATGGCAGGGTTAAGGCTTTGGACCTCTATACCTTCCCTTGGGGTACCTTATTCTATAGGGTCCTTACAATGAGGATCCTACTATTTAGTGTGTACTCAGGGTCCCCACTTTTGGACATTACCCTAAGGCTCCATAGTAGTTCCTTTTTGGGTTGATATACATTGTTCTATAAGGTAATCCCCAGAAGGAACTACTATGGAGCCTTTGGGTCGGGTTTAGGGGTAACGTTGAGCCCTCAGGGCCCAGGTAGCTAATAATTTTACACTCGCACAACTAGTAGCCTACCTACCTACTATCCGTAACCTAAGTACCTAACCACAAGGTCCTTTCTTCTACCCCGTAATATATCCTAAACACCAATTATGAAGGACCAAAAGGGCTCTATTTGAGGGTCATTGGGGGGTCCTGTTGGACCCTCGAACATGAATTGGGGCTCCGGGCTTTATAGTAGAAGCCAGAAAGTTGGAACATCATTACCACCATGCCCTTGAAGGTAAAGTATAAGGGATCCTAGCACTAATCCTCCTAAAGCCATGTCCCAACGTTCTGGCTTCTACTATGGAAACTTTCGTGACCCGGCTTAGGGTTTAGGGTTTAGGGTTTGCCAAAAGTGAATAGGGCTTCCGCGCTTTAGAAACCCTCCGAGTTGGGGTTCGGGAATCTGAAGGCTCTGGAGACCAGAGCATTCTGGCACGAGCTACCCACAGACTCCAATATCTCTTAATTAGGGACTATTCGAAACCCCAAACCATGAACGGAATCATAGAATCCAGAGACTCCAATATCTCTCAACTAGGGAATATTCCTTAAATCATAAGGATCCTGCTATAATTCAAGGTATACCGCATGATTAAGGGATATTGGAGTCCCTGGGTACTCGTTTTCTTGTAGTTCATCGATCTTCAAAAGCACCCGCTACCCTAACACCATGACACATGTTCCATGGATGAAGCTCGACCTGGGCTCATGGGGTTTATGGTTTAGGTCTCTCAAAGAACCCTGAGGGTCCATGTTCCCAAATAGTATATACTTTGGCCCCAACTTACCTATACAGGGAGTCCTTTAAGGCCAAAGTATATACTATTTGGGCACATGGACTCCCAGGGGAGGAGACCCCCCGACAACCCGAACGGTGCCAAGGAGAACCCAAGTGAACCAGCAAACAAGACTTCACGGTTTAGGGGTTTAGGGTTTAGGGTTTAGGGTTTAGGGGTTTAGGGTTTAGGGTTTAGGGTTTAGGGACTTCAGTCCGAAGCGAACTCCCCAACCAACTTACTACGACACAACAACACCTGCTCAGAGACAGCTTTATGCAGGTACATAGAGCTGCTATGGGGGTGCTGCATCGTAGGATTTGCAAAATCCAGCTTTCAAGCGTATGTTGCATAATGGCTTCGGGTTTAGGGTTTAGGCCTCGCAGTTCTGAAGAGGGCTTGAAGTGCCTTCGTACTTACCGGCTTGCAGCTTGGTATGACTATGCTCAATACCTGCAGCCCAGTTTTGCATTCGTAAACATAGCAACTTACTACCCCCCAGAAGCCACAGAAATGAAAGGTTAAACTTTCCGGTTCCTACTATACTACAAGAACCCAACAATTTTGAAGGCTAGGCGTTGGGAATTTAAGTTGTGCATGTTTGACGAGGATTTGCACAGGGGCCCGGAACCCTAAACCTCAAACTAAGCAGGTGTTGGGATTGTGCGACTAAGCAAGTACCGGCTGCAAGTAGATCGAGCATATCCTGAGTGGGTTATCCGTCCATTCGTGCTCCTTAGCACCTGTATTTGCTAAGTCTCTGAACCTTCCAATCGAACGGGATTCATGGTTAAGGGTCTCTAAGACCAAGGATCTGGGGCTAAGGCCTAAGAGGGTTAAGACTCTGTAGTGCAGGTCGGCAAGCCTTCATCCCAGGTTCCACCCGTTTCCCTTTTATGCGGGCGCTGCTGCTGGCGAGTGGCAAAATCGAAAATATTCCAGGTTCGGTCCGGACCGCAGAAGAAAGTGTGAAAGCCGAAGGCAATGAAGCTCATGATCAGCTCCAGTGTGAAAACGCCTACCTGGGACAAGCGGGCCTATGCATTCATGGAGGCACACTGCTGCGGAGATATACTCTATAGGCGCTACTGTAAAGGTAGATAGACAGACAGATTGATAGGTAGGTAGACAGATATCAGTTTGAAGTAGAAGAAGCTTTCTGGGTTACTCGAACTCAGTTCCAAAGACTGACCCTACCCCTAAGGGTCCATGTGCCCAAAGAGTATATACTTTGGGCCCAATGTACCTATATGTAGGAAGTACCTTGAGGGCAAGGTATATACTAGTTGGGCACATGGAAAACTTGCTGCAAGGTATATTACAGGACTCTGCATGACGACTTCAGGTAGACGGGTTGGGTTTGGTCTTCCGATCCGAAACCATCGAACCTATCCGAACCTAAGAAAGGGGGCTTAATATTATGAATAGTGTTTTGAGGTATACTGTACTATAACTGCAGCAAGGAACCCTAAGAATAACAAAGGTAATTATTGAGGCCCCTATATGCCCCCATATAAAGAAATTTTCAGCCACCTGCCCAGCAAACCGTTTAGCCAGGCAACCTGCTCGATGATGTTCGGAAGTCCATAAACAAAGCAACGCTGAATGAAGCTCTGGTGCATATAATGCCTTCACAGCCCTAAATTACCCGGCACGAGGCCCTGGCAACTTGTCACGGACGGTCTTCATGGTTCAGGGTTTAGGGGCTTGCGACGTCAAGCGGTGGCCTACTCCTCCGAATTAGAAGGAATGGGTTTAGGGTGTAGGGTCTAGGAGTATAGGGTTCAGGGTTTAGGGTCTCAGGGTTTCGGTCCTAGGGTTTCGGTCTCAGGGTTGAGGGGTTTAGGGTTCTCGGTCTTAGGGTTCTTAGGTCTTAGGGCTTGCATGGGTTCCAGGTAGCCAGGCCAAGCAGGTAACCCCATCTTGCACCACCAAGTCCAACAGCCCCGAACCCTCAACCCTAAGGCCGAAAACCCTAAGGCCGAAAGCCCAAAGGGTCCAAAGTACCTTTATGGTAGAATGTAGGGTTCCTATATTAGGAATTACTATAATGATTTGGGGAAGTATCCCCCATAACAGTACTTTGGACCCTTTGGGAGCTTCCACCTGAAAAAATCGATGCACTTACAAGCATCAAGGGCGCTGTACCCCTAAAAACTGTAAACCCTAAACCCTCTAAACCCCAAGCCCTAAGCCCTAAACCACAGTGGTGTCGTGGCTAACTGCATTGGGCAAATGCCCATGCCCACGGCAATGGCGCCCACGAATGTGCATATGCAAATGCCCGCGAACTGCATTGGGCAAATGGCCCTAAAAAAGCAAATGCCCACCAAGCTCATTGGGCAAATGGAAATTTTCCCAAAAAAGTGGACACAACTGATTGAGCAAATGGAAATTTGCCGAATGAGGTTGGTTGGCATTTGCATTTTTGGGCCATTTGCCCAATGCAGTTCGCGGGCATCTGCATAATATGCAAAAGCCCGCGAAGTCATTAGCCTGTATATACATAAGACTGTAAGGTTTTTTGCATAATATGCAAAAGCCCGCGAAGTCATTAGCCTGTATATACATAAGACTGTAAGGTTTAGGGTTTATAGGCAATCCTACGGCCTTTGGGCCCACATGACCCAAGAGAATTGAATTCTGAGTCTTCAGAGTCTTGACGTAGGAACACCCAAGACTGAGCTACAGTTGTCGGTTTCGGGTTTAGGGTTGGCCATTCGGGGCATTCATCAGTCATTAGAACACGGCGGAGGTGCTGGGGATCTTGTGCATTAAGCAGAATAATGGCTATAAGGTGGTATTTTTACGAATGATTCCCCCAGAGGCTCCATGTGTAGTAGCATTATGGAACTAGGTCCCAGAAGACCATCCATATCATGGCTTCGGGGACCTAATTCCATGAAGGTACTAGATATGGAGCCTCTAGGTCCGACTCCATTATATAAGGGATGCTTCGGCTGAGAGACGATGATGACATTGACGACATCGAACCAGCGCGGGATCTCATCTTGACCTGGTACGATCTAGAGTTTTGGGGTTGTGAACCAGGACCCCCTCAAGGGCCCTTAACTGGAGTATAAGGACTTAATAGTGGGTATTTGGGGTATTAGAGGGAAGGTTGGGGGTCTAGGAAGTCGGATTGAAATTAGAGGTGAATGCATGTTCGGGGTCCTTGCTGGCGAGCCAGCGACGAAGTAGAATCAAACAGTCGGCTCTTCTGGAAAGAGCTGCAACAAGTAAGCGCAAGTTTTGAACCTGACGTCAGTTCTCATGAAAGAAGCAAACAACATTCGGTCTCAAACATTGGATCCAGCAACCTACTGTTGAGCGTTCCCACTAGTTTGTAGGGTTTGGGTCGACAGGAAGACTGAGTGCATTCGGATCACATCCAAGGGGCTGCAGCACAATTGCTTTGGTGGAGGCACGCAGATTTGTAGGTTAGTGTTCGGGAACCTACATGACTATTGGGTATCTGGACCCATGGGGTTAGCTCGGCCGAACGATTTTCTGCTGCCGAAGCCTGCACTGTGTAGGTTCAGGCGTCTGGGTGAGGTGTTCAAGGTTCACGGCGCTGTTTTTCAAGTCGACAAAATGAAACGTAATATCACCTTAATGTCCGTCTAAAGCGAAACTGTAACATAGCTACAAGGCGAAGACACGTCTTTATTCCAAGGAGACCGGCACAAGAAGCCTCCTTAATGCTCTGTCGTGAAGTTCAGACACACCCCAGTTCCATGTACTATATCTTATACACGCAAGGGTTCCTATATAGGTACCTCAAAGCTTAAGTTCATGATATATGCGTAAATACTGTAATAGGAACATGGACTTTTAGGGACACGGTTTCCAGAGGTGCTTTACAAAGTGTGAGACACACCAACCCTCATCTAGAGTTGAAGCCGAAGCCCTAAACCTCAAGCCTAAACCCTAAACTCTACAATCCCAAAACCCAAACACTCTAAACCCTAAACCCCAAAGCCTAAACCCTAAACTCTACAATCCCAAAACCCAAACACTCTAAACCCTAAACTCTACAATCCCAAGACCCAAACTCTACAAGCCCCGAGCCCCGATACCATAACTTGAAGCCGAAGCCCTTGCTCAAGACGTAGAGCCCAAGACCCAAAGCCCTGGCTGAAAGCAGAGACCCTGAACCCAAAACCCAAGACTCCTAGGGTTTAGGGGTTTAGGGTTTAGAGTTTTCCCCCGGTAAGAAAAGATATTCCCCGGATTCCGAACGAGGCCCCACAAGGAAAGGTCTGTCAATGAAAGCCTAAACCTGTGCCCTCAACTGTAGAATCCTGTACCCTGGGTCCCGGGTTCCGCACCCAAAGTGGAGCTCACGTCCACCTCCACTCCCAAAAGGACGAGGTTGAGTAGAATCAGCGCCTCCGCAGTCTGTTATACCCTAAACCCTAAACCCTCAACTGCAAACCTTCAACTCTGCAGCCTACACCCTAAACCCTCCACCCCAAACCCTCAACCGTAAACCCCATGAACGATTAACCTCAACCCTCAACGTAAACCTACAGGGTCCAAGTACCCAAATGGTAGAGCTTTAGGTCCCCAAGATCCATACTCTGAATGATTGTTGGACCTTGAAACGCTACTGTTTGGGTGCTTGGACCCTCAGGGAAAGGGTTCCGGACTGATGGAGCCCAGGTCTCTTCGGATTTCAGGCTTACCGGGACCCACAAGGAGTTTCCGAAAATGAGGGGTTTATTGCTTTGGGGTCCTGGTAACAAGGATCCTACTATTAAGGGTACTTTTTGAGGGGTCTCCTATTTCGGAAAATCCCACAAAGATCTGAATGTCTAGGCTTGAGGATTGTTTAGGGCCAGGGTTTAGGCTTAAGGGCTGAGTCTTCAGGGTTAAGGGCTTGGAGCTTTAGGAACTAGGAATTTGGGGTTTAGGGATTAGTAATGAGGGTGGAGGCTTAGGGTTTAGGGCAGAGAGTTAAGGGTTGAGCAACTCCAGAACCCATAAATCCCACAAAACAAATGTCAAACCCGAACATCGAGCCTGGCAGCCCGAATGCCCAGAACAACAACGCAGAACCTCTGTGCTAATAACGGGGCTCCCTGTTACCCAAAACCTTAAACCTTAACCTTGAACCTTAAGCCCTAAACCCTAAACCCCCAAAACCCTAAACCCTTAAACCCTGAACCCCCAAGCCCTAAACCCTTAAACCCTGAACCCCCAAGCCCTAAACCCTTAAACCCTGAACCCCCAAGCCCTAAAGCAGGGGGGGGGGGCCATGATGAAATGTGCTGCGAAGGTGGAGGTCACGAGCAGGTAGGCGCAGCGGCTGCAGCGCGAGGCCCAACTGCCTGGAGCAGAGTTTCGGAGTTTGGGGGTTTAGGGTTTAGGAGTTTGGGGGTTTAGGGTTTAGGAGTTTGGGGGTTTAGGGTTTAGGAGTTTGGGGGTTTAGGGTTTAGGAGTTTGGGGGTTTAGGGTTTACGGGTGACAGGCTAGACGAGCAGTGGTTTTCGGGTTTTAGCTCAGCTTAGTTTGTTGACGAACTGGGGGGGGGGGGGGTCAAACCCGACTCTGTTCTAGGATGTTTTTTGTGTACGTAAGATAAACAACGGCAGCTGTAATACAAGGCCTTAATAGCTAGAATATGGTTTTGGGACCCATTATACTATAACTATAGTAAGGAATCCGCAATATAGTATAGGTAATTAATAAGGCCCCCCATATTAATGATGTGTCTCAGGCAGTGTCTTATAGTTTCTACTTTGTTATCGTTGTTGAGACGGGGTTCGTGTAAGTTCTGAGCTCCGACGCTTTGCGAGTGCTCATGGACGTAAGAACTGGGCCATTATGAGCTATTTTAATCAGGTTTCAATGGTTTGGTGATGTGATCCGGATCAGGGGGCTAGGAAGTAGGGTTGAGAGCGGGTCCCTGCAATTCGCTTAGGGCACTTTGAACTTAGAACTCTACATATCGCTTACTCTACATGCCTACGAAGCATGAGCTTTACACTTGTTTGATAAAGGCTGCCTTAGGACATATGCGAGTGTGGGAGGGAACTTGGGCGTCCAGAACCTACTCCCAAAGTAATTGCAAGGGCTCCCATCGAACAACTTCTGAAATTGAACATTCCCTTGATACATTAGAGCGTAGAAGCCTAATTCCACGCTCTAGGTCTCCTGAACTCAAAGCTCAATGCCTTAAACCCCGAATCTTGAATCCTAACCCATAAAGCCCAAAATCCCACAGCCCTGCAGCTAAACTCTATAAAACCTAAAACCCTAAACCCGAAACCATTGATAACAAAAGCCTACTTGGAGGATCATCGGAGATATGAGTACATAGAACTACAGTAACCTCACTTATTACCATAGTCCCATGAACCTCAAAGTAAGTCGCTAGGTGCCTAGCCCCTAGTACTCATATACACCCCCATGGCCCATACTACTACTCTCCTAAACCGCGTCGGTTTTAGCTCCTTTGTACTGGACCCCTGTATAAACCCAAGCCAGCCTGTGCGCAAAGCAGGATCGCCTCCGCGTACGTGGCCTGGGTTAGTTGAAGTCGGTTCAGCTTCTTGGGCTCTTTCAACTGATGAAGGGTTTAGGATATCTACAAAGGTCCAAAGGGCCCAAGAACAAGCCACTTGGGTTGAGGATATCGTCTAGAGGAGCGGCCGTCGGCAATACACACGAAAGAGGAGACCTACATACTAAGGGCTATTTGCCGAGTTAGTTTACAGGTGTTTGGAAGAACGAGTTTGCTAGGTGGATTCCTACACCCCATCCCTAAACCCGAAGCCCGTAATCCTTTAAACAACTAGCTCGCATTCCGACACCAAAAAGCCCACCGTGGCCGTTGGACTACGGTGCTAAGTGCTATACTTCATGGCGGTAAAAGTTTCTTGGAAAGATATTTCCCCATAGTTAAGGAGTTTTAGGGGTTGTAAACGGGTTATGGAAAAGGTCCAAAAGGGTTCTACCAGGGACTTCTGCGAGCTATATCTTACAACCATGGGCTAATAGCATACAAGAATATCCCAGACCTTCCAAAATCCCTTAATTAAGGAATATACCTTAAATCATAATAGGGATCCTACTATAATTTAAGGTATATTCCTTAATTAAGGGATTTTGGAAGGTCTGGGATAGTAGAGTTTGACGCTGGGCTTAAAGCCCGACACCAACGCCTAAACTGCAAAGATGCAAAAGTTCGCAGGGTTCCAGGGTTTAGGGTTTAGGGACCTTTAAGCAACAACCTATATAAGTAACACCCGAGACTGAGCATCTGGCACATCCATAGGGCGTAAAGCCTTGAATTCGTACTGAACCCCAGACCAAAAAGATGCAAACCCTTCACCTGATCCGACACGCTAACTGTACCCCTAACCTACAGTTTTAGGGTTCCTTCTTAGAGCTCCTTACATAAGTCCTTAATCCGGGAAAGCCCCAAAAGCTACACCTAAACTTGAAGCAAAGCCTGAACAATCTGAGGCTGACCAGCTTCTGGGAAGCCTACCAGCCTTTCAATTAACATACCTAGATCCTGGATTGGAGTACCATTTGCTATTCCTCACCATCACACAGGTTGTGTCAAAAAAAGTAGTAGGTAGAACTCTACGGTTCTGGACTCAGGTGTAGTTGTGCAGTCGTAAAACGGACTGAACCCGACGCAACCAGGTCAAACAACTGAACATCGTACAGTGACAGAGCCTATGTCTTCCGGGCTTTACGCCGCAAAGTCAGTGACTCTACAAACGCAAGCATCCAAGTCACCAAATTCGGCTTCAGCAGCAGCCTGCGCCCTTGCTGCTTCGTGTCTTGCTAGGCTTACGACTTAACGTTTCTGCAGGTTAGACTGGGCCGAGGGTTGCGAGGTACTGATGTCGAAACACCTGCACTGCATAACGGAGTAATTTCTGCAGGTGGGGCCTATTGGCCTAAGTATGTATAACAGGGGGTTTACACAAGCATCCCCCCGGAATCGGATTCTAACAGCAAAGATATACGACGCTTGTCAGTCAAGATTCCTACAAAGCCCCAGTAACCTAGGAAAACCCTCTCTGGTATTGGGTAGTTTGATAAAGAACCTAAGACCACAACAATGGAACAATGGCCTACTCGGAGACCTATTGGGCTTTAGATCTACAAAGCCTACACCCGAAGCCCCTTACTTAAAGGATCATGGGACTTAGTAACTAGGGTTATAGATAAGGTAATTATACTTATAAGTACTTCTAACCCCAATTAGGGGACTTCTAGGCTTACTTACTAAGTCCCCCGATCCTCCACGTAGATCTACAAAGCCCAAACCCGAAGCCCCTGACCCCATTAAAGTCCTGTACCCCCCCCCCCCACATGGGTCTCTGGCACTGGGACTTCCTACGATTCTACGAGTGGCGATGACTTCGGGTTTGCCCTAAGTCCTACAGCCAGGGATTCCCAAACTCTGAACATTCTAAGCCGTGTTGGAGAGTAGGGGCTACAGGTGGCTACAGCGGGAACCTTATGAGGGAAAGTTACATTCATCTAGCTGAATAGTCGGATACTTCACGGGGGTCCTGTGAGGCACATGGCAGAAATGCAAACACACCCCGTTCACTTTCAAGCTCAAGTTCATGAAGGGTGGCTGTGGTCGACGTTTTGCAGGAATTACTCACGTGGGAAGCGCAGCAAACCTCAGAGCAAGAAAAAAGCCTACATTTTCGAGGACCCACTGAATCCTGGGACTCCAAAAAAGGCACGTGGATAGTATCCACAGGCTTCCGGGTCCGAAGCAGGTACAAGCTTTGTGTCCACGGAGCCCAGCACCCTTCATGCAATCTGAGGGAGAGATCTTGAGTCAGAACTAACAACAAGAAGCCTATAGTCGTGTTCAACACTTGGTGGCATATCCTTACTCCCGGATATCGTCCCGTGACTGATTGAGCACGCCGAAGCTCTGCAACCAGAACGTCCTGCAGACTTCACAGGCCGGGCCATCGGCAACGCAAGCCAGTGCTAAATTCCCAAGGGTCCTATGTACCGATATAGTAAAATGTAGGGTTTCCATATTAGGAATTACTACCATGGCCTAGGGAAGTATCCCCCGCAACAGTACATAGGACCCTTTGGGAATTGCGGGAGTTGCAATTTCGACACGCCACGAACAACCAATGGCTCAGCTCCGGGTGGCGGAAGTTGTTGAGGTGCGACCTGATCTTGCTGCTGAGCTGCATCGTCGGGGCCAATATCCCTGATGCATTCCCCCACGGGTCCAAGTACCCAATAATCATATACTCTCCAAAATCCTAACGTACATAACTACTATCCCAAAGCCGAGTACCCGATTATTGGGTCCTTTGGACCCTTGGGGTTCCTGAAGCCACAAGTACACCTCCTCGGGGTCTTGCTTGGCCGCGACAGTCATGGCCAGGGAGCAGTGGTGTGCCTGGTGGCACCGCAACTGGTGTGCCCCATTGGACCGCAACTGGAGTTGCGCCTGTGGCCACTGGAGGTGCTCACGACCCATACAAAGAAGTACAGTCCTCCGGGAAGAAGCAATATGCCAACTATCCCTCTCAAGGGCAGTAATAATGAGATCCATACAATACAACCCTAGCTTAAGCTTGAAATGGGCTTCTTAAAGCGGTGGAAACTTTGCAGGAAACTTTAACCAAAGGCGCCCTTAATTACAGGGACTGCTTCGAGAGAAGAAGCTTTATGCCACCCTCAACCCACAACCCCTAAGACTCCAAGTATACAAATGGCATCTACTTTGGGGTCTAAAGTCTATAAATACTACCTACTTTGGGCGTCTTAGGGAACCCCTGGACACCCATCCGGCCTCTCTGCATAGTCTGTCAGAAGTGTCCTGAAGAAGCTGTGCCTCGCACTTCCTCTTCGTCCCCTGGCAGGTCTTAGGGTTTCGGGTTTAGGGTTTAGGATATCATAAGGGGATCCGTTAAGAGATTTGCACAGTTTTCTGTTTTGGGGGGCACAGATTTGTACCGGTTAAGGGCTTAGGGTTCCTGTAATAGTAAGAGACCTAGAACGTGTGCTATAACGACTTACCAGGGACCTATAGTGAACCCCAGAAAGTTGGAACATAGATTTAGGATGATTCATGCTGGGATTCCCTATACTTTACTTTAAGGCCATGAGGCTAATGATGTTCCAACTTTCTGGCCTCTACTGTAAGATGATTCAGGGATTTAGGGTATCGGATCCGGGGTTTTGAGGTTTGGAAATGTCATGGTTCCCCAAGGGTCCAAGTACCTAATAATCGTATACTCTCCAAAATCCTAACCTACATAACTACTATCCTAAAGCTGAGTACCTAATTATTGGGTCCTTTGGACCCCTGAATTTACCATGGATGGAGCTCCTTCCGAATATGTTGCGCGTTCTATGGGTTCCATGGTCTTTAGAAGGGCTTGAACAAGGGATATGATCGTGTAGGGGCTCACGGGTTCAAGGTTTAGAGTTTAGAGTTTACAGGTTTAAGGGGCTTAAAATTTGGGGGTTGGGGCTTAGACCGTATATACCTTGCACCCCAAGGTTTAGGGCGAGGGCATCCCCATGGTGGCAATGATCTATTCAGAGCGTGTCTTGAGCACAACACACACACACCCTAAGGCTCCATGTACCCCTAGAGTACATACTTAGGCCTTTAAGTACCTAGATAGGTACCCCTTTAAGGCCAAAGTATATGCTATATGGCTACATGGAGCCTTAGGGACAACCCCTTATCCCTTCATAACCACACGCGCAACTGGTTGTCCGGACCCAGCCCGAAACACCTCATTCCACACCCGAAATCTTGCCATGTATATATAAAGAAAAGCCTCTATGACATATTAGACACTTGTAGCCCGAACTTTGAAAACTGACAGTACCATGTAAACGCCTCGTGAAACACATGTAGAGACCCTAAACAACCCCCCAACAATCCTTTTCAAGCCCCCAACCCTACCCCTAAACCCTATACCCTAAACCCTACAGAAAGGGCTCAAACCCTACCCTTAAAGAAATACCTTAAACCCTACCCCCCCATAGGTCCGAAGAATCCAGCCTTAGGGTGGACCTGGACCCTGAATATCCTACCTTACCCGGTCCATGTACCCAAATAGTGTACACTTTGGGTAGTCCCTATATAGATACTTTGGGTCCAACAGTATTTACTATTTGGGTACATGGACTCTTCGGGTTAAGCACAATCACAGGAAATCACGCAAACCTATAAAATGCAGGTTATAGGTTTGGCTTAGGGTGAAGTAAGGCTTCTTGATTAGGAATCAGAGTTTATGAACTGGATAAGTGCCCTCCATATAAGAACTTAGGCCCCGGTGGGTGATGTACAGATGAAGTCTTGCATTTCAACAAACAAGCAATAACAATCGGAATTAGGCCCCTGGTCTAAAGAAAGTGGAGCGCATTAACCAGGGGTCGAACCGTATGGAGCCCCTCACAGAAGAGGCTGAAGTTTGTCCTTCCGCAGTCATGTTGTATTCCGTTTCTTGAGCATTTAGCAGACTTCGCGATGGCTTAAACAAGTTCCTGCTCAGGAACTTATCTTAAACCACGACTATTGTGATGAAAGCACGGTGTTGACAACTACAACAAAAAGAACGTGTCTGGCAATCAGACCTGTCAAGGTGCCTTACAATCAACCGATGCATCGTGGAGCCCAATCTTATGAAACCCTACCCCAGCCAGCCCCTGAACACGTTAAGACTACTAAAGGGGCCTAACATGTTACCTAAACCATTTTGGTGGTGCCCCAGTGTAGTATTTTGCCCCCAATATGATGCACCTGTCATATTCGTTGACCTGCACATCCGCCGGGCCCATGATGTCTGTGAGGCCTCCTAGGAATCTTTGGGGTCCAGGGTTTATAGGGTACAGGGTTAGGGGGTTTAGGGGTTTAGGGTTTAGGGGTTTAGGGTATACGGTTTAGGGTATAGGATTTAGGGCTTAGGTTTAGGGTATAGGGTTTAGGGCTCAGGGTTCAGGGTGTGGGCACCCAGTGACTCCAGAACCTCTTAATGATGATGAGGGTTTTCGGTTTTGTCTGGGCATGGGGCTTCTACCTGTTCATGACGGGGAAGGACTTAGTATCAGCGTGAGTTGCCATGATTGTGGCGATCTTAACCTTATGCACACTTCAATTCCAAGCACTCGCGAAGTCACCCTGATCCTGCAAAACCATCGGCCGCTTTACCCTAAACCCTGGTATTTGTTGGTCATCTCAGGTGTTACCTAATGGTGCAACCTGATTAAAAACCTTGGGCCTTTATCAGGGTTCCGTGTATATGAATCCTACTTTTTTTTGGGGGGGGAGGGTGTATAGCCCCAGGGTTTCTTAATCAGGCTCCTACACTACATGCTACTTACCCAAAAGAGTCCTATGTACCGATATAGTAGAATGTAAGGTTTCCATATTAGGAATTACTATGATGACTTAGGGAGGTAGGATCCCTAATATGATTTAAGGTATATTCCTTAATTAAGGGACTTTGGAAGGTCTGGGTACATAGGACCTTTTGGGTTGAAGCTCGAGACCTACTGGAAGGGCACCATGGCACCCCGACTCCAAAGTCAAAAAAACGAAATCCTATAACCCCAAAGGGTGCTAGGTGCCGTTAGGGTTTATGGTTTCTATTTAATGTTTGAGGGGTTTATATTTGTTTTTTAAGGTTTATGGTTTAGGGATTAGGGTTTACGCTTAGGGTCTAAGGCTCTAAGTACCTATATGGGAAATACTTCTCCAAACCATGACAGTCATTCCTACTATAGAAAACCTACTTTCTGGTTCTAACACGTAGGTCCATATCTAGGATCCTGTTGGAACCCTGAGCAGTTCAAGCCCAACTCCCCACAACCCTAAGAGAGGGCTTGGGGTTCCCTAAGACTCCAAATAGCCCAAAGTAGGTAGTATTTAAAGACTTTAGACCCCAAAGTAGGTACTATTTGTATACTTGGAGTCTTAGGGTTTGTGTTTGTTTATCCTCCAGTTTTGCGGGTCCGTTGTGGGCGTGTAATTTTGGTTCAGTGCTTACCTGGACTCTCAATAACCGATCACATTAAGGACTTATATCATGAAGCCATGATCAGGAACCCTGAAAGGGGTATTTGGGGTTAAGACTAAGGGTTAAGCTGTTCAGCGTCCAGGGTTCCAAAGCCCAACCCCGACAGCCGAAAGCCCAAAATGTAGCCTGAGCCATCACAGGGTTTAGGGTTTTGGTTTGTGCTAGGTTTGAGGGTGTGGGTTTAGAGTTTAGGATTCAAGGTGTAACTTTCAAGGTACGGTTGCAACTTGTTGACTGGACCCCCGCAGCCCCAAGAAGTAGCACAAGGTTACACTCCAGACACAACTTGACGGGGCGCAAAGCGCCGAGTATGGACATCAGAGTATTTACCCAAACGATTCCACTGGGGTTGCTTGGTACAGATATACCATACTTTGCCCCCAAAAACGCTTTGCATTTTTTGATGCCCCTATATACAATTACTAGCCAGTCAATGCCGCCATGACGGCCTCTTCTTGCTGCTGGCACATTACTGCAGTAAACCCAATAAAGTTGGAAACCTGATTAAGGCCAAATAGTGCTGGGATCCTTATACATTACTCTTAAGGATTGAGGCTGTTGGGTTTCCAACTTGTGAGCTTTTACTGTATAGGGTCCTTAATGATTCCCTATATTACTTTGTGGTGTTCCTTATTATAAGGGGCCCCAAAACCCTAGTCCAATTGTTTAAGGCCCTATATATCTATCTATCTATCTATCTATCTATATATATATATATATATATATATATATATATATATATATATATATATACATATTACTCCATATAGTAATCCTCATAGACCCCTTTAAAGGAACCCTATTCTAACTATTGAGCCCCCCCTATATTATGAGGCCGCCACCGGTAGTCGCACCGATGTTGATGGGTGCTGGCCGGCCACCCTGGCAGGAAGCTACTTGGAGGCCTGTAGGAGTTGTTTTAACGGATCCCTTCAGGGATCCATAAACGGATCGTGCCCGTTGCCCTGGTTTAGGGTTTAGGGCTTTAAGAGTTTACGGATTAGGGTTTAGGGTTAAGGGGAAACTTCCTCATCGCAGAACAATCCAGAAGCCTTAAACCTACACTTCTCAGGACACTGTAAACCTTGGGCCCTAAATCGTCAAAGGCCCAACAGACAACTCCCTGAAAGCCCTGTACTGTAAGCCCTTCCTATCCCCAAACCTTCACACCCCGAAATCCTAAATGGAAAACCCTATGCTCCGATAACACCCCAAACCCCAAACACCTAAACTCTACGTGCTTGCAATAAAACCATATAATGAGGTCGTTGCAAAAGCCCTGATAAAATCCCATTTGCACGCACCCAAGCCCTACAACACCCCTAAATCGCAAATCCCTACCTCTGAAGCCCAAGATCGCCTAAGACCCTTTTCACCTTGAGCCTTGATTATAAACCCCCCTTCAAGAGGAACCCGTCAGTCCTAACGCTCCCAAACCCTACTGGGCTTCGTCGCCGTTCCAGGATGTGGGAGTTTCCGAAAATGGGGGACTCTAATATAGTACCCTACATAAGGCCCTACAGAGTAGGATCCTTATTTTTAGGATCCCCAAATAGGTACCGCTCATTTTCGGAAACTCCCAAGTTGAATCCCTTAACAAGAACCCAAGGTCAGGGACACGACACGGGTTCCTCGGTTCCAAGATTCCATAGACACAAAATTCTTGCCTATCTTCAAGAAGACCACTCCATCGTCCGAAACACGTCACACGCTGACGACGCGTACGAACCCCAGATTCCCAAAGGCTCCATGTACCGTTATAGTAGACACTTAAGCCCCAAAGTAGTCCCTATATAGGTACTTTAAGGCCTAAGTATCTACTATATGGGTACATGGAGCCCTAAACCCTAAACCCTAAACCCCTAAACCCCTAAACCCCTAAACCCTAAACCCTAAACCCTGAACCCTGAACCCCAGATTGCTAGAGGAGCCTAGCAGAGTGGCGATCCTGGAGCCCACCAGTCCCTTCATGTCGCAGAAGTGCCCGAAGAGACGACCCAAAACGATAAATATGGGAGTTTCCGAAAATAGGGGACCCTTTAAGGGTTCCTTTAAGGGGTCTATAAAGGTTCTATAAGGGGTTTAGGGTGTAGGGTTGGGAGTTTCCGAAAATAGGGGACCCTAATATAGTACCCCAAAGAGTAGGATCCTTATTATAAGGACCCCAGAATAAGGTACCCCCTAATTTTCGGGAACTCCCATATGGCTGTATCAAGTAGTCATGCTCGCGGTAAGACCTACTTGGGGAGTGTGCTCATCAGCCGAGAGCGAAGGGCTCGCCAGGTCGCCAAAATCGCTGAAACTGGGGACCTGGCAATCTTTCTTGGACTCACGCAGCAGCTGGTAGGCCTCCTCGCGGGTCTGGCCAGGCACCTGGAGAGGGGGGGCAGGGGCGGCGCGCGCCGCACGCGCTCAGTCACACCTGCAGGGCAATTGGCGCAGTCAAGGCGTCTGCCCGAGCAGGGAGACGCACCTACCTTTGAAAGGCTGCCAGCTCCTCTTGGTATAATGTGCATGCAGGGCCCGGGCTTCGCGGCTGCGCATGCCCGCGACGCCTGACGGTGAACTGCGGTGGCCGCGTCAAGCCACCCAGACCTTCCAAAATCCCTTAATTAAGGAATCTACCTTAAATCATATTAGGGATCCTACTATAATTTAAGGTATATTCCTGAATTAAGGCATTTTGGAAGGTTTGTGCACCTTCTCGACGACGTTTGGGCGTGAGTGCGTGCCCTGGCAGGTCTGAGCCTCGCTGCAGCTCTTGTATCTTACCTATAGTCTCCATTGTAGTTCCTTTTTTGGGTTAACCAAAATCTCTATTATAGGATCCTAACCATAAAACTGGCTAACCGAAAAAAGGAACTACAATGGAGACTATAGGTAGCGCCTTGTTTCAAAGGGGACAAGGAAGGACCCTTAATGGGGACCCCTGGGTCCCTATAGTGGACTATATAATGGGTATATAATAGCTATATGAAGGGTGTATACCTAGGGGTCCTTATTAAGGGTCCCTCCTTTTACCCTGGGGTTGTTGTTTCTCTGACGTGTGAGAGCCCGACGGTTATAAGTACATATAAGCAAGTAGTGCACATGTAACCTTGCTTACTAAGTCCCGGAATGCTCCAAGTAGACCCTAAACCCTGAGCCCTTATAGTACCCCGACAGCTGCCTGTAAGGAACCTTTACTTACTAAGTATCTTGATCCTCCGAGTGCATGCCCCTCAGAATGCCAGAGGCTCCTGCTCCGCCTTCGTGTCAGAGCTCCTCAGCTGCAGACCCATTTGTGGGTTCAGGAATTACCTATAGTCTCCATTGTAGTTCCTTTTTGGGGTTACCTTTTAGGGTCCTTAATATAAAATCGGTTAAACCAAAAAAAGGAACAACAATGGAGACTATAGGTAGAACCCTAAACCCTGAACCCAAAACCCTAAGCCGTAGAGTTTAGGGTTATTTGCGTCCAGGGCTTGAAGGTTCAGGGCTTTAGGGGCTAGGCTTCAGCCCTTTTGGGTTATGGTTTTGGGTTTTGTATACCTACTTGTCGCGTATCATGGGGAACTAAAGGTTAACCTTTTTGGTTATATAATAGGGATTATATAGGGGCTTTACTACCCAAAAAAGGTTAAAGGTTACCTACTCTACTACTAGGTATATAGGATGAATCCAGGGCACGGGACAGGATTTTGAGGCTCAACCCCTGCATCAAACATCCCAGCACTGTGGACAACTTGCCAGGTCGAGGAACTCAGATTCAGGGCTTGCCAGGGGCCCCAAACCCTAGAAATACTAGGTTATAGTGACCATTTAATCTCTCTTCTTCAACAACCGGGCCCCAAAAAGTTCAAACTTTCTAAGATAGAGCCAATATAGAAAGCCCAAAAGTTTAAAGTTCTCCCGTTCATTATCTAAGTAAGTAGAAAGTAGAACCCTTAAAACGGTAGGCTATCGGAGCCCCAGGCTGGAGTTTAGGGCTTATAGGGTTTAGGGATGGAGTCGGCAGGTTTTCAAGTCTTGATGCCGAGATGGGAGACTCTGTTTAGGGTTCAGGGGTTTAGGGGTTTAGGGTTTAGGGGTTAAGGGTTTAGGGGTATAGGGGTTAAGGGGTTAAGGGTTTAGAGTTTAGGGGTTTAGGGACTTCTCGAAATACCTTGAAAAAGGGGCGTCCAGGCTATCTTGCTTCGCGCATAATGCTCCTAAAGAATGCCTCGGGTTGAGTTGAATGGAGCTGTGGGGTTTGCGCAGGAAATTTTGGGACGACAGAACCTGAAACTTGAGACCCGCTTTCCCAAGCTGCTCGCTCTCGTGCTGTGCAAGCTGGCATCATCTACGGGGGCCACTACTTGAAGGATCATGGGACTTAGTAATTAGGGTTATAATTAGGGTAACTATAGTTGTAATTACTTATAACCCTAATTAGTGTACTTATAACCTTACTTACTAAGTCCCATGATCCTCCAAGTACGGGGGCCACTACAAGACCTGCATGCTATCGGCAAGGTATCCTTTGACCAGTAAGTCAGTAAGCCTCCTTGCTAAACTGCGCTGTATCTGATGCCAACCTCAGAACCTTGCAATACACCCTACTGTTCCTCGATGTAGTTCACTCAGTGTCCAATGACACGTCAAAAAGTATGTGCATTGCACATGCTCTCAAAAGAAAAGCCTCGGGGGGACCCAACTGGTATGCCTCGTGCTCCATCTCTTGAACAAAGCAAGCTACCAAGCATTTCAAACTCCCGAAGCCCTAAACCCTAAGTACTACCTAGCTCCATTAAAGGTCCGTTGGGGGTCCCAGGTAATGACTAATGGCATATCCCTGTGAAGGCCAATCATCCCAGACTGTGCTCCACTCTACACTCTAAACCATACCTGGAACTTAGTAAGTACGTAATAAGTAAGGTTTTATGTGCCGTAAGTGATATCCTAATTGGGATTGCGGTACTTGACTTGGCAAAATTCTGCGACCCTACACTTGGAGGACCCAATGGAAACCAAGCTTTCCTTAACGCCCAGTTGACCTTCCTAAAGCCAGGAGTCCACCTAAAGGCTTAAACCCTAAACCCTAACCTTTAGACCCTAACCCCTAAACCCTTAAGCCCTGTACCCTCAAGCCGCAAACTGCTAAAGCTGACCATATTCAAGTCAAAGCTTCGGTCTCTTCACTGGTTTCTGCGACTCCCGTTTGGTCTCCAATCTCCCAATGTCTAAAACCTGAGTTGCGGGGTATAGGGTTCAGGGCTCTGAGGTTTAGGATGGTTTAGGGTTGAAGAGGTTTGGGGCTTTGGGGCTTAAGGTTTAAGGTTGGTTTGGGTGTTAGGGTCCAGGGTTTTGAGTTTGGGTCACGGTTGTCCTGTCGATCAACATAGACAGGGCCTTAAGGTACCTTTACCGATCGCCGTCTTCAGCATCTTGCTTACCACGACTAGTGATAATCTCTGTCCCCTCGAAACGATAGTGATATTGAGTACTGCTCAACATGGACAAAGACAGCCCTGGCTTGGGTTCAGGCTTCTGGGTGCCGGAAACCGCTGAACTCAAACCCCCGTCGCTTCAGGAGTTCAGTCGGATTTCCGGTTCAGGGGTTCGTGGTTTAGAGTTTAGGGTTCCTGGAGTTTCGGCCATGCCTGGACCCCAAAAGTATGCAGAATCATGGCATTTTATAGGTTTTGGGCCATTATTTGAGTTTAGGGTTTAGGGATTAGGGTTCAGGGTTCCCCTAGGCTCCACAAGTAGGTCCTTGTTGGGATTGCCTGGTGGGATTCGAAATATAGACCCCCCCCCCGCGCAAAAGGAACTAATTACCATCCCCTTAGGGTCCATGTAGCCATATAGTATATACTTAGGGTTTAGGGTTTAGGGTCTAGGGTTTAGGGTTTAGGGTCTAGGGTTTAGGGTTTAGGGTTTAGGGTTTAGGGTTTTAGGCCTTGAAGGGGTACGTATCTGGGTACTTAAAGGCCTAAGTATGTACTATAGGGGTACATGGAGCCTTAGGGGATGGAGCCTCTGGGTATGCTGGGGGCCGAAGATGGCCCAGCAAGGCACGGCCATAATGAAAACGAGTAACCCTAAACCCTAAACTCTCAAAGCCAAGAGCCATCAATTTCAAAACCCCTAAACCCTAAACCCTAAATCCTAAACTCTGGACCCCTAAACTCTAAACCCATCACACAGTGACAGCAAGAAGTCACGAGGGTCACATAGATGATGACGACCCCAATCTGCAGTGATGTTAATCTGCAAGTCCTTTGGTCAATGCTTCTTAGGATTTAAAAACTCTACATGCTATACTGTATACTGTACTAGCAAAACCTGAACACCCTTTCCCAAGCCCTTGAGGTTTGGGTTTAGGGTTCAGGGTTTCTGGGATTGGGCTTAGGTTCAGAAATGAGGGCATACGCACTTTATTCTGGAGATCCCTTGAATCCAAGGGTAAAAAGAGGGACCCTTAATAAGGACCCCTAGGTATATACCCTTAATAGAGCTATTATATACCCATTATATAGCCCATTGTAGGGTAGGGGTCCCCATTAAGGGTCCCTCCTTTTCCCCTTTTGATTGAAGCAGGGAGTTAAGAAATATGGCTCAAATCATAATATGAAGCCCTATATACTTTAAGCCATACTCCTTAAGGGGCATTGGGCTCTCTGTGTTGAAGCGGGGAGCAGAAACCCACTCCAGAAACACCGTAAAACCGGACGCTGCTTGCAAACGGCATCCAGCAAAGTTATTATCATGTTAATGTTTAGGGTTCAGGGCTTAGGGTTAGGATCCCAAAGGGTCCTATGTACCGATATAGTAGAATGTAGGGTTTCCACATTAGGAATTACTGTTATGACTTAGGGAAGTATCCCTCATAACAGTACATAGGACCCTGTGGGTATAGCTTCCAAAGCCTAACCACCGCTTCCCAAAACAGCCACACCGTCACCGCCGCCCAAGAAACAGCTACAAGAACACCAGCAACAATATCAGCGGGAACAGCATGGAACAGCAATGGCAAGAACAACAAGCCAACACTTACTTGTCCAGTAACTATCCTAAGGGAACTGAAAGGTCACCTTTGGGATTCTACGAGCCTAAACCCTAAACCGTTCCAAGTCAACCCTCATCACTAAAACCTCACTCCACGGCCGAGCTACGGCTCCGGTACCCGTGCGCTGTGGCGCTGATCGAAACTGGGCCCAGGGGACTACTCGGAGGCTCGGAGGGTTTAGGGTTTAGTGTGTTAGGGTTTCAGGGCTTTGGGGTTTGGGGTTATAGGGTTTAGGGTTTCTTAGGATTTTAGGGATCCTGGTCCTACTGAACACAGCTTACTAAGTCTCCCCGACCCTCCAAGTAGCAGTGGAAGGGAAAAACAAGTCAGCAAAAACAGTGCAAATATGCGCTGACATATACATGTCGTTTATGTATAGGTGCAATGTGTGTAATTAGTCTGTATGTATGCATAAAACGCATGTGTACATGCATGCCTGTCTGTCTGTCCGTCTGTCTGTCTGCCTGCATCCACGTGCGTCGGCATGTACGTAAGCACAAACCGTAGGTACGCCGCGCCTACCTAAGTATTGCAGTATGCACGTATGCATGCATGTGTAGGTACAGGTACATGTACATGCATATGCATGTGTCTAAGTATGTGTATGTGTATATGTATATGTATGTATATCCATGTTTCTAATGTAACTATGTATCTATGCGTATGTAACTATGTATCTATGTGTATCTAAACCCTAAACCTTAAACCCTAAGCCCTAAACTCTTAAAGGGATCGAAGCCCTTACGGATCGCGCCTCGCCAGTCTTTGATCTGAATTGTGTGGCCTTGACGGCCCGAGCCAGGTCCTGCCAAAACAGCGCCGGGGGATGGTTCTTAGTGTGTGTTTGGGTGTTGAGTCAGGTTGATGAGGGCTTTTGAGCAGATGCTTCTTGGTGTTTGGGGTTATGTTGGGTTTCTGAGGGCTTTTCAGCAGATGCTTCTTGGTGTGTTTTGGGTGTTAAGTCAGGTTTCTGAGGGCTTTTGAGCAGATGCTTCTTGCTGTGTTTTGGGTGTTAAGTCAGGTTGATGAGGGCTTTTGAGCAGATGCTTCTTGCTGTGTTTTGGGTGTTAAGTCAGGTTGATGAGGGCTTTTGAGCAGATGCTTCTTGGTGTGTTTTGGGGTGTTAAGTCAGGTTGATGAGGGCTTTTGAGCAACCCCTAAAGCCGAAACTTTGGCGTTTTAGGGTTTATGCTGGGTTTCCAGGGACTTGCTAGGGTTTGTGGCCGATTTGGGCGTTTCAGGGTTTATGGTCTGCTAAGGCTGTTTCAAGGTCTGCGAAGGCGTTTCAGGGCTTATGGTCGATTAGGGGCGCTTTAGGTTTCATGGTCTATTCGTGCGTTTCAGGGCTTATGTGGCCTAGTACCCAGGGCTTATTTTGCGACTGGTTTATGAAGCTAGGGTTTAGGGTTCATTAGGGCGTTTTTTTGCGGGGGGGGGGGGGGCTTAAGGTTCAGAGTTTTGTTAGGGCTCAATGTTTGCTAGAGTGCATCGGGATCGTGCTGTTGACTGTGCGGACTTCGTAGGGCTTCTTGGGGTTTAGGGTTCATGGTGTGGAGGTTAACTAGGATATCCAGTAACCCAGGAGTATATAGGCTCCCGTTTTGGTATTAGGTAACTCTATAATAAGGACCTAGGACTACAAAAAGGGAATAAGGGTACCACTGGGCATCCTAGTTAAGCCTTTCTAGGGTGTACGGTCTAATCCCGCTCTTTAGGGCTTACTGTTAGGGTCTACAAGGTCGTCGAGAGGGATCAGGATGGTTTAGGTTTTGTTGGGGCTTATTCGGGCAAGCGTTTTACGGTTCATGAGGCTTAATGTTTATTAGTGTGTAGGGTTTGTCATTTATCAGGGCTTGAACTTGCTTCTAGGGCATTAGAGATTAGGGTGTAGGGCAGGACACAGCGGGCTCGGTGTTTGTTTGAGGTTTGTATAGTTTGGGAGACGGGCACTGTTAAGGGTCCCAAGAGGGGTTTGGGTGTGAGGCGCAGCAGGGTTTGGCTTTGGGGTTTAGGCTTCACAGACCAGGTATTAAGGCTTTAGGGATGTACTTGTAGAGTTTGGACTAAACACCCCAGAGGAACAAGTTGCAGTAACTTATGACGACACTCTGCTACTTACTAAGTCCCGCGTGGGCTGTCCTACTTGTGACTGCAGGGGTTCAGGATTTTCGGCTTCATGGGTTAAGGGTTTGCGGGTTTTGGGATTGCGGGGTTAAGGGTTTAGGGGTCTAGGGTTTAGGGTATATGCCTGCGAGAAGACACCGTCAGGACTCCTGTACTGAACTTAGTATCCTAGCAAAAATTGTAATTTTAGCTGTTTCTTAGGGATTATAATAACCAAAAAATCAAAACTATTTCTGAGTACCCCTACGAAGACACCGTCAGGACTCCATGAAAGCTACTTTGCGGCCCACTGGCTCGCAAACCCTGCAGAGCCCCCAATCCGCCAACGAATTGGGATCTCGGCAAGACTTTAGGTATTGCCCCCATACAGTAAGAGTCTATAATAGGGCTACTATTAAGGTCCTAAGATTTTTACATATATATATATGTATATATTATGAAAATTATTCAACTATTACTGAGTGGGAGCCGTACCCAAGCAAGACTCTAAAGCCTAAACCCAAAGACCCTGAAACCCTAAAACCCTGAGACTCCAACACCTGAAAGCCCGAAGCCCTACAAGTATCTATAGTCTCCATCGTAGCTCCTCTTGTGGGTTACTTGATAAAGGAACCCTAAACCCTAAAGGCACCTGCAACAGAACCCTAAACCCTGATTCCTAAGACTCTGAAATTCTGAGTTTTCAGAAACCTAAACCCCACCCTAAGCCATGTAAACTCCAAACCCTCAACCTTAAAGGAGTCCTCCTTGGAACCTTGAAGGGGGAACCCTGAAAGTAAAACTGATCCTTTTAGGGATGCCGTTACTCTAACCCTGAACGCTTAAAGGAGCCCTCAAAACGGAACCTTTAAACAGAACCCATAACCCTAAACCCTAAACCCTTAACGGAGCCCTTAAAGGAGCCCTTAAAGGGAACCCCCTTAAACAGAACCCATAACCCTAAACCCTTAACGGAGCCCTTCAAGGAGCCCTTAAGAGGAACCCTTAAGGGCTCCTTTAAAGGGAACCCTTTTGGGTTCCTTTCAAGGGGAACCCTCTGGGGGGGCCTGTAGAAGAGCCTCCTGTTTGGCAAAGCGGTTCTCCAGGAATTCCTGAAGGCCCAGGAGCTCCTCCAGGTAGGGCTTTGCTTTAGGGCTCCGTAGAATTTGAGTTTTTTTTGTTTAAGGGTTTAGGGTTCAGAGTTTTTGAAAGGGTTTAGGGATTAGGGGTAGGGTTCCTGGAGGGTTTAACGGGTTTAAGGGTCTTGGTGGTTGAGGGTTTAGGGGGTTACTTTCAGAGTTCCCTTTAAGGGTTTGCAATAAAGACTCCTTCAAGGTTGATGGTCTAGAGTTTACAGAGCATATAATGGGGTTTACGGTTTGGGCTTTGGGGATCCTCCACATAGCCTTTGTTGGGGGTGTTCAGGGTTTAGGGTTGCTTTACGGCTTCCTCTGGGATCTAGATCTCCGTCATTCGGAGTGGATATTTCGCTATTTAAGGTGTATTCTGAGCTAGCTCTCTGGGCTGAAGGGATGGTCAAAAATGCAACTGTGCCCTGATACGGGATGGGCAGCCAGTACAGCTGCCTGTCCGTAGTCTCGGCCTTCGGAAGATCGCGGCTGCAATCTGGAAAGGAGATTGTGTGGCGGAAATCATGATCACGCCGCAGCCTTGGGTTACTTGAGTCTTGAAACATGACGCACTGGCACCGCCCACAAAACCAAGATCTGAGAAGTCTGTCTGAGTACGCTGAGGCTGAGGAGCCGCATCTCCACAATGGTGGTTCTTTGGGCTCTGCAGTTGCTGCAGTGTCAGTGTCCGGTTCATTCGCTACCGGATGAGGATCGGCCTTAAGTGGAGTAGTATCATCAAAAGGCTCTGCATCGGCCTTGCCCTAAACCCTATATCCTACATAAATAAACCCCAAAAGCTAAACCGTGGTTTAAGGTTTACCCTAAGGCTCAAAATACCCCAAAAGCCTTACACAGTATGGTCTTCGGGCCCAAAAGCCTAAAAATATGAGTCCTTAGAGCCTGAGGGTTAGGGTTTAGGGTTTACCACGCCGGCGCTCACGCCTCGGAACCGGAATATGCTCTCGTACGAGCCAAACGGAAATGCGAAGAACTTCTTAGGTCAGGTAAGCCGTAGTCCTAAAGATCCGGGGAAGGAGCTCTTGCGAACCCTTATGACACCCTTCTTATGGGAACGCTTCCTGTATTGTAAACTTCAACATACCCCTTTACAAACCCTATCCCCCAAAGGACTCTTCGTGTTCCCAACGCGCGACCTGACACACCCACACACACTCGAACACACAGAGACAGAGAAAGAGACATAGACAGAGACAGACACATACAGACACGCGCGCGCTCAACTTTTCGAGGGCCTCTTTTGCAACTGCCTGTATCCAACTGCTAGGTTTAGGAGTTTGGGGTTTGGGGTTTCAAGTTGCAGACCCTAAACCCTAAACTCTACACCCTGAACCTTTAACCCTATAGCCAAAGCCTTTTAGTGTATCCTTAATCGAAACCCTACATTGGGTAATATAGGTTCCTAAATAATTACCGATACTGTTTTGGTGGGTCCTTCGTATAAGTATAAAAAACGGGCCCAAAGCCCAAAGCCCTATTCTAATTCTTAAGGCCCCTATATATTCTACCCAATATAAAAATCCTTCTAGACCCGTTTAAAAGGAAACCATAAAGGAACCCTATTATAACTATTAAGGCCCTTCTAATTCTTAAAGGCCCCTATATATTATACCCAATATAGTAATCCTTCTAGACCCGTTTAAAAGGAACCCATAAAGGAACCCTATTCTAACTATTAAGGCCCCTATATATAAAACCCCATATAGTAATCCTTCTGGCCCCCTTTAAAAGAAACCCTTAATGGAACCTTATTCTAAGTATTAAGGCCCCTATGTTACCGTCTCACAGCCCACTGAGCTTTGGTTTGGTTAAAACTCAAAACCCTGGACCCAACAACACTACGCTTCGGCGTTTTAGGGCTTAGGGTTGTCGGGCTTTGGGGTTTCAGGGCTCACGGTTTAGGGCTTTAGGGTTTAGGGTTTTACCGTTTAGGGCTTTAGGCTTTTAGGGTTTCAGGGTTCTAGTTAGGGTTTTAGGATTTAGGCTAGGCCACGCAGCCTAACAAGACTTAAAACCAGAAAGCTGTGACCGGCCCGGTGCCCTGAAGCAAGAGGCCTGCGATGATGGTGTGAGAGGCTGCATCACTGGCGCCTTGTAGAAGCCGGGGTTTGGGGCGGGTAGGGTTTAGGGTTCGGGGTCTTCTTTTTCAGAGCCATCGAGGTCTAGTCTAGGCATTTTTTGCTCTTTTTTCCACCAGGGTCTGGGGTTTCGGGTTTAGGGTTTTGCTCTGCTCTGGTTGCAGAAACTTGTAGACTGCAAAGGTCCTCAAAACATCATAATTTGGTCCTTGGGGTACGGTAGTAGCTGTGTAGTTTAGTATGTTTGAGAGAAAGTATGATTGTTAGGTACCTAGAGCTTTAGGGTAGTTGTCTAAAGGCTAACCTTTGGGACTATATTGCGACTATAGCATCCCTGTAGGGCCCATAGTAACTGTAGTAGTTAGTAGACATAAAGCTGGAACAATGCATCCTCAAGTATAGGGAATCCTAGCACTGATCATCCATATAAACCCAATGCCACGTGTTCCTATTTTCTGGTGTCCGCTGTAGACTCATAGGATGAGCACTTCATGATTTAGCGTTTTAAGACTTCGGGTTTATATCGGGTCTACCTGTGGCCCCAAACCATACAAAATAGTAGGTTATATATATTTAGAAGGTAGAACCCTTAAAACGTAGGGAAGTATCCCCCAAAACAGTACACAGGACCCTTTGGGATGATCAGCCACCCGCGCTCGCATGCGCCTCTGCCACCGCAGAACATCCATCCGTCGAGAACGACCAAGGTTTCGTGAAACAAACAGAATGGGTGTGCGGCGTGCCGGGATTCAGTGGGACCTCCAGCTCCTCTGCCGGAGGGAGCAGGTCCAAGACACGAGTGAACTCGTCCCATGTGCGCACCATCCATTCCAGAAACTCGTCTGGCGTGTGGAGCTGATGAGCGACGCGGCCTTTTGCCTCTGCTGCTGACGATTGAACCATGAACAATAAAGGAACCATAAACCCTGAATCCCAAACCCTTTTGCCCTCAACTTTAATTTTTTAGGCTCGAAACCCTCGTGAGAATCTTGGCATGGTGCATCTTGGGGGCTCTTCATACAGTTGATAACCCAGGCATACTCAAATCGATCAACCCTAAACCGTCACCCTTTACACTTAAGATATGTTCCTGAAGGAAAAACAGTTGAGATTCCAGAGTCTGCAAGTCACCTACACAAGCAACCGTCATTTGCAACGACCTTGAACTTGGTAAAGGTCCTAAATAGGGCCTCAAAAATGCACATAAGCAAAAATTAGGACAGGGATATCCCATATAAGCCCGCTCATAATGCAGCCCAATACGGTAGTGATATCCCAATAAAATGCTTATGCTTATGTGCTTTTTGGGTCCCTAACTAAAGCCCAGATCCTGGCCTCTCGCCGCACTGCCGCGGAGCAGCACTCCATGGCTGAAAAAACTGCTGACCCACCTTTTCCGAATCTTATACCCTCAACTCGACATCCTGAACTCATGAGCACGGAAGACCGTCCCGATCTCTACATCTTAATGCCCACATGGAGCCCGAATGGACACGGCCGTAACTGATTGATATCCTGGCAAGGCCATTGAACAGGAGTCTTGGTAAACCTTCTACCCCATCTTAGTCTTGGAAGAGACAAACCTGGGTTTCTACTGTCCTTTACACTGCATCTTACACGATGGTTCGGGCCTTGTGTGTCAGACTTTCCGACTGTGCAGCAGGAGGCTTCCAAACTAGGGCTCCCAGCTGACGGGTGCACATGGTGTAGACGATGGTAAGTCGTACTATTCGGAGTCGATACTCAACTCTCATAAGGGCCAAGCAGGGAAGGACATGTGAGACGCGGTGGTCGCAACTTCCGAGCCAAAATGCCGTCGAATGAGGCAAGTTGGGGGGGCCGGGCTCTTACTGAACCCTACTACGGATTCTGCTAGTTCGTGTCTTTCTTGGAGAACCATCCTGACTTGCAACCTCAAAGCCTGTGGCCCATGTGCCAAACCTCGAAACGGTGTACGATGGAGGGCATGCTTGCCGGTCCGTCGCACACAGCCGGTTGATGATTGAGGGAGTTGTTACTCACCAGGCCCAGCACCAAAATTAGGTTGCTGACAAGTGGAGTTGTAGCTACTCCAAGTACCGTGTTCCTGACTCACCTGCTAGAAATCTTGCCACATGGAAAGCGAGCAGGTTCACAGCCTCAGCCCTTTGCAAGCGCAGGCCCTAAACCTTACCTGTAGTAGCCAATGAAACCCGAACAGTAAATACAAACTAACTATGAATCTTATCATAGGGGTTGGGGTTTGGGGGGTTTGTTATGATTCCACTAGCCAAAAATGGCCAATACACTGCACACCTAAGCATAGAAGCACCTGGTTTCCGCTTGAGCTTCGCAGTTGGGAGGGTTCACGTCTGGGAGTGGTGGTCCAGGTGTTGGGGGCCTTTCGTGTTTGGGTGTACTTGGAGGATCATGGGACTTACTAAGTATGGTTATAAGTATCTTAATTGGGGTTATAAGTAGTTATAAGTATAGTTACCCTATTAATATCTTTAGCTATTAAGTCCCATGATCCTTTGAGTAGGGTTTAGGGCACGAGCTCCCTTAAGGGTCTACTGTATCTCTATTTGGGCTGCTGTGTCCTAGGCAGTGCTCCTGGCCCAACCTGGACAAATCCCTGAACATGATATATATATATATATATATATACATATATATATATATATATATATATATATATAACAGTATAACAAACCCTATGGAAGCCCATTCCCAATCGAGCCGACCAAACCCCTTGAGACATGTAAAGTGAGCCCTTAATAAGACGCTGCGGCTCCAACTGCCTGAACGTGTAGGGCTGCCGGGCTCTACAAGAGTTGGTATCATATCACGGCCTACTGTTACATAAAGTTGTAGGGATCATTTAGAAGGGGCCCCCACCCTGTAATAGTGGTATAATAGGAATATAATGGGGCCCTAATATAATCCTTGTAGTCACTATCAGAGGCTGGGGGCCCCTCCTAAAGGATCATAGTCTACCATTTCGGAACACTTGGAGGATCATGGGACTTAGTAAGTAAGGCTATAAGTACCCTAATTGGGGCTATAAGTAATCATAACTATAAGTTACCCAATTTATAGCCCCAAATACTAAGTCCCATGATCCTCCAAGTAGGTGACAACCCTGAGATGGAGCCCCGGAGCCCCTAAACCCTAAAACCCTGAGAACCCTTAACAATACGGTTGATGATATAAATCCTGCATTACCTTAAGGACCCTCAATTATGGGAATTATGGTAGATTCCTTATTATGGGTCATGCAGGATTTATATCATCAACCGTACTACCCTCAAAGGGGAAAAGGAGGGACCCTTAATGGGGACTCCTACCCTATAATGGGGCTATATAACGGGTATATAATGGCTATATAAAGGGTATATACCTAGGGATACCCTCAAAAGCAAGCACACCCATAACGTTTTAGAAACACCTGACAATCGAAACCCATCAAACCCAGAAAACTCAAATCATCCCTAAACCTAAACCCTAAGCCTAAGCCCAAGCCCCAAACCCCAAAACCCTAAATCTCTAATCCGTAAATCTCTAAACCCTGAACCCTAAACCCAAGCCTGAAACCCTTAACAAAACAAGTTAATTAGCGGCCTCGCGCTTCTGAAAGCGCGCCGCGACTTTCTGGTCGCCTGGACGACGACGGGTTCGAGCAGGGTTTGGGGGGGGGGGGGGGTATGGGATTTAGGGTTAGGGGTGTGGAGGATTTGGGTTTTTGGGTAAAGTTTTTGGCTCGGGCTTTCGGAAGTAGTAGGGTTGAAGGGTTAGGGGGGTTGGAGGATAAGGGCTTTTGGGGGGGTTTGGGGAGCAGGGCTCCAGGTTTAGGGAGGTTTAGGGTTTAGGGTTTAGGGTCTAGGGTTTAGGGTTTAGGGTTTAGGGTTTAGGGATTTATGCCAAAACCGACGGTTTCGGGGGCAGTAGCCTAAAGCGTAGTAGGGTTTCGGGGGTTGGGGCGGCTAAGGGCTTGGAGTTTCTGTTCTGTTTACAGGCCCTTTTCCGACACAAAGGTCACCAAGGCTTATCACAAGGGCTGAGAGCTAAGGATTAGGGTTTAGAGTTGATGGGCCAGGGGCCGCACGAACAAGGACAGGGCATCTGAACTAGTGAATTTAGTGGTTCCGTGGAGGGCTCCTTTAAGGGATACTGTCGTTCTGTACTCTTCGAAGTTCCCGGGCTTTTTTCCAGTTTAAAACATCGGCGCAAGCGTGTTTCTCGAGCTAATTGTAGAGCAAAGTGTGAAGCCCAAAGGGTCCTGTGTACTGTTATGGGGGATACTTCCCTATGTCATAATAGTAATTCCTAATATGGAAACCCTACATTCTACTATATCGGTACATAGGACCCTTTGGGGAATGATCCTGGCTTAGGGTCTCAAGGTTAAGGGCGTAGCTTCTGTGGTGCTGCGGTTTGAGGTTTAGGGGCTTAGGTTTAGGGTTTAGGGTTTGGGTTTAGGGAACAAGATCTGGCTTTGGTAGCAACGGCTCCGACGTCCAACCGTCACATCAAAGAAAATCCCGAGCATGTTCTTGACTAACGTGCTTTCAAAGGGCCCCGTAGTACTGTAGATGGGTGCTATACGGTCGATCGTGTTTTCTGATCGCAGAATTTAAAGCTCGGTCAGGTCAATCACCGTTTACCCCGCACTTGAAAACTTAAGAGGACCACTACCTCAAACATCACACAATGAGCACTACAACGCCACAGATACCTCAAGAAGCAACAACAACCCTAAACCCTAACCCCGGCCCTACACTCTGTGAAATCCACTCCCAACCTCTGCTACTGGCGGGGCGGCCCTTCGAACTTCGACTCTTCGACTACTTGAGGATCATGATCAGGGTTGTAAGTGAGGTACCTATAGCTTTAGCTAGTTGCAACCCTAGCTAGGGTGCTTGAAACCTTACTTACTCAGACCCACGACCCTAAAACAACGAAATAGACGAGGGGAACTAGAGACGCGCTGCTAGAAACGGTTTTATGACAATGTTACTCCAACCCCAAGCCCTAAGCCCTGGAGTCAAGAAATCTCGCGGCAAGCAGCTGGTGGTGCTCTGAAACTGCCGAAATCGAATCGGCACCTGATGCCTGCAGAGGGTCTGGTTGGGGCTTGTCGGGTTTATAGCACATGGTAAATACCGTGCGAAAAACAAAAATCACCTGAAACTTTGCGTGTGTACAGTATTAAAACCATAAGCCTATCATATACACACAACTACATACAATTATATATGGTTATATGCAGACATAAATACGTACATACATGCGGACAAACACAGCTAAAGTGAGACAGACAGACAGACAGACAGACAGCCAGGCATGCATAGATAGATACATGCATACATAGACAAATGCATACACGCATACATACATGTGTACATACATACATTCATGCATGCATGCAAGCATACATATATGCATACACTCTTACACACATACATACATACAAACATGCATACATACATACGTACGTACGTACGTACGTGCATACATACTTTCCACATACTTTCAGGAACACATGCATAAGTGTATATATATATATATATATATATATATATGTCTAAGCCGAGTAAGTATGTATGTGTACATGCAAGCATGCATGCATGCATGTAAGTATGTATGTGTGTATGAATCTGTGTCTGGATCTCTGCACGTAGGTGCATATTACGCATGTGTTTTTTGTGTCAAAGTTGAGTCTTCGTTGGTTTCCCATTTATGCGCTTCTACATCCATGCAAAAACTTAGTTGCTTGTTTGCTTATCTAAGCTTTGTGCCGTTTTTACCTACATAAATTATGTCGTTGCTATTCTCTGTTTATGTAGCTATCCACTTACATAAGTGCAAACATAATGCTGATAATGCTACAAATAATCCTCACACTTGCTGACCTTGGACACTCGAACCTACTTGTCGGGTATCATGGGAACTAAAGGCTAACCTTTTGGCTTATATAGGGGTTATATAGCGAGTATACTACCCCAAAAAAGGTTACCTACTCTACTACTCGGCGAAGCTTTGACTTCTGAAGCCCAGACATCAGGCTTCTCCGCAGGTTCCGGACCCTCCCAATGCCATACCTATAGCACCCTCAGCGCAACAACACTAACAATATCAACAATCATCAAAGCACTACTAATTAGTAACGTCTTAGTACTTATTTCGCTAATATTGGGAATACAGAAGACATGGTACTACATGATATTGGCACTAGTAGTAACAAACATGCCAACAGTAATTATGGTATGTAGAAGCACATAATACAAACGCAAAGCACGAACCCTCCATAAACAAAACGACTTTGACCAACAATATTAATAATGGTAACACTAGCGCTAGTACGATAAGAAAACATGTCGTGGGATGCT